ACTCCTAGGAATTTACCCTAAGAATGCAGCACTCCAGTTTGAAAAAGACAGATGCACCCCTATGTTTATCGCAGCACTATTTACAATAGCCAAGAAATGGAAGCAACCTAAGTGTCCATCAGTAGATGAATGGATAAAGAAGTTGTGGTACATATACACAATGGAATACTATTCAGCCATAAGAAGAAAACAAATCCTAGCATTTGCAACAACATGGATGGAGCTAGAGGGTATTATGCTCAGTGAAATAAAGCAGGCGGAGAAAGACAAGTACCAAATAATTTCACTCATATGTGGAGTATAAGAACAACGAAAAAACTGAAGGAACAAAACAGCAGCAGACTCACAGAACCCAAGAATGTACTAACAGTTACCAAAGGGAAAGTGACTGGGGAGGATGGGTGGGAAGGGAGGGACAAGGGGGCGGAAAAAGTAAGGGGCATTACGATTAGCATGTGTAATGTGGGGTGGGGCATGGGGAGGCCTGTGCAACACAGAAAAGACAATTAGTGATTCTATAGCATCTTACTATGCTGATGGACAGTGACTGTAATGGGGCTTGTGGGGGGGGACTTAATGAAGGGGATAGTCCAGTAAACATAATGTTCCTCATGTAGCTGTAGATTAATGATACCAAAAAAACAACAAAAAAAAGTTAAGAAAGTAGCATTTTGATCCTCCATGTAGTATTCACCTAGTTTCAACAATCGTAGCCTATCCTGTTTCCTCTGTACCTTTTAAATGGCTTCAATTTCATACGTTTTTCTTAGAATCTCTGAGGATGCTGGTTGGTAGGAAGGTTAGAGAAACGGTATACTGGTGGTGAGGGGCCGTGACAGGAGAAGGACTGTACTCCAGAATGGAGTTATTGTAAATTCTCTGTTCCGGCTAAGTTCCCTGCTGCTTTGTGGTATCCTCTTTTATCTCTGTCTTACTATTTTGCCATGAAAGCACTTCTTCGGAGCCCATTAGAACCCATTCTTGCTACCTAATGTGAATGAAATATGTTTCCCAGCCAGACCTTAGCAAGGGGCTTTCCTCTAAACATCTGTTAGCAGAACATTTAGGACAAAGTGTTCTACTGTATTATTTCTATGCTTTTATGGTTTGGAATGGCCATCTATTAATGAATGGAAATGTTTCCAGAAACTTGTATGTACTGTGAATATGTGTCATCTAAAAGATTTGCCTCGAGAGGCTAAGAATTCTCTTAATTCTCTTTACTCCAGCATTTTCCCAACTCCATTGGGAAAACTTTTGGAGATAATAAAAATGAGTAAAGCTATATAGCTAATTCTAGATTGCACCCTTCCTGACACTTCTAAGCCACTTAGTAAAGGCTATTAAGACCCTGGGGAATACTATTCTTTGTCTCTCTCTGTCTCTTAAAAATTCTGCGTCGTCTGTTGATCCCATTTACTACAATTATGTGCTCAACACCCTCAAGAATGCAGAGTGGAGGTCTTGGGCCTGATGTCGGGATGTCAGACATGAGAATATTAAATAAGTATGTTTCTTGTCTTGTATGTCATCTGCTCAGGGAGGGAAAAAAAAGAAGTAACAGGCAGCACTTTGAGTTGTGAAAGGTTGTGTCCTTCAGAGTGACCTCATAGCCATGCCATGAGTGACTCTTCACATCCACCTCCAGGCTACATCTACTTTTCCTAATAATTAGAAGGCAGAACTCTTGGAATCAAGTTTGACAGGTCAGTTTTGCATTCAAGCCTCTCTTTGAACCTACATAGAGTTTCACTCATTTTTTCTAGGAAGATAGCAAATCCTTAAAATTGGGAAGAATCACCTTCAGGAGTAGAATTACAAAATTATACAGTTTGAGACATCAGGGCTTCCTTTCATCCAAGATGTCTTCCTACCCACAGGATAATGTATCAGAAACTTGACTAGGGGTGTCAGTTCCAGGAACTAGTTGATGAGTATGTATTACTTTTCTTACCACTTTCTGCTCTTTTGGGCATTGAGGAGCTTTATGTGAGAAGGATAGATAACTTAGGAGCATACTGCCTGGGAAGGGTTGGCTTTGAAAGGTATCTTGTTGGGGCTCTAGGATGTAATAGAGAAGCATGAGGCTATCCGGGTGGACAAATGGGCATATTACAGAAAGGAAAGGTGTGCACAAGTCCAGAGGTCAGAAGGTACAAAAACTTCCTTTTCTTTTCATAATTGTAACTGAAAAATTGAGAAAAGAGAAGCTAGATGAAGATGGCTATGATAAAGCTCATAAAAAATTAGCAGGGTAATAAAGCATGTGGTCATTGAACGAGTGATCTGTTCTTAATCCAAGAAAGGCCTTAATATCTTGATGTTGTATCTTTGTATATGAATCTTTTGCCAGAGTCACAGTCCTACTTTGGCAAGCAGATGTGAAATTAAATGTGCAACTTTTTACAATAGTAATTTTTATTAATAATAGTAATTGTAAATAATAATTTGGCATGAGTATCAAAGACTTTAATCAAGGCTCAAAATCTTAATTAAACCTTAAAGTAGCTAGTTATGACTATGGAATTATAAACAGGACTCTAAATGTAATACCTTCCTGTACTGAGAATATAATATTGTTTTTGTTTTATCAAAGATCATTCTACTAAAAGTGATGGTTAGCTATGAACATGACTAAAAAGATTTGTATGCAACCAGCAGGCCATTTCAGAGCATACACATGTAATGGAAGTTGTTGCTTTGTGGTTCTAATGTTTTGCAGGCTTTGTGCTACTGTTACATGCAACTTTGTTTTTAAGATCCACTTAAATATTTTGAGAGTACACTATGTGTTTCTACCTATTTGTTCATTCAGCACACATTTGCTGGAGTACCAATTGTCAGATCTGTTAAGTGTTAGACATGAAGATATAACAAAATCCCTGTCATCCAAGAGTTCAGTGGTTAACTAGATACTTTCCTTGTCAGTGAGTATCCTCTGTGGCAGGATTTCTCAGTCTCAGCACTTTGACATTTTGGGCCAGATAATCCTTTGTTGTGGGGGGCTGTCCCAGGGAGCATATAGGATGATTAGCAGCATCCTTCACTTCTGCTCACTAGTCCCAGGAACACTGCCCCACTACCCCCAGCTCTTGACAATCAAAATATGTCTCCAGACATTGCTAGATGTCCCCTGGGGGCAATTCCAGAATGAACCAGACCTTATGTATGTCACTGACAAAGAGCTTTGGTAAAATCACCTTTAAAAAATATAATAGAAAGCTAGCAAATGTAATGAAAATAAAACCACCTAGATCTGTCTCATATACTTACTACATGTGACTTCTCGAAGAGGAATACACTACAGTAGTACCAAATAACACCCACTAAATGTTTGTGTTTTAGTTTAAATGTCTGTGAGATCTTTCTGAGTTACTATGAGTTACTGAGTTACTATGTATAGGAGAATAATTGTTCAGTTCCTCAAGGACTTTACTAAAACAACAAACAGTACAGTCATTGGAAAGGCAGAGTCCACTGTTAAAAATCTGAGTTCTTTGCTGAGCTCTGTCAACATCACCCTCTTCTTGTTAAAAATGAAAATATTTCATTTTTTCCGGTGAGTAGCCTCGACAACTGCCGCATTTTTAGAACGTTTCTTGTGTTCTTCCGGCAAGACTTTGAGTTTTGTTACTTAACTATGGGAATACTACCTAACTTAGAATTCTCCACCTTACTGCTTTTCCACATTCAAACAATGTATAAAGGACATTGTACAACTAGAATTCATTTTAATAGTCTCTCAAAACTGTCTTCTCATACTGCCTATGTTCTCAAAGTAGAGGGACCACTTTCCTGTTAGAAACACTTCACTAGAAATCCTGAAACCTGAGTTTTAGGTTCACCTTTGGTACAAACTAGCATTTAAACATCCACTCATCCTCTCTCAGCCTTTATTTCTTCATCTACCCAAGGTAGGTAAATAGGTAAAGATACAGATAGGCTCTTTATCCTGTTTTTCAGATAAGTATCCTAAATTCCATGACTCCACACGCTGCTCAAACTCTTTTGTATTCTTCTTATTAACAGAATATCCACATCTCAGCTCCTGTGCCTGTCAAGAGTTTTAATTCATCATGGATAACATGTCATTAGAAGAAATTCAGCTAAGAGCTAATCAGGTTACTGATGAGGTAAATGTTTTACTTGGATTAAGTAGTTAATTCTCTTTCAGTTTTCACAGTAAAGCAATTAGTGGACCTTCTTGGAAGTCCTTTTGCCCTCTTCCTAGTCCCTTTGTATCGAAGAATGCATTTGCCCCAGAGTGCCTTGCTAGCTTCTTATTTTTTCAAAACTAAGTGAAAACAATTTGTATGATTATTTTTTAAGATGGTCATTACTTGACAGTTACTTATAACAAAGACTCTGTAGATTTGAGGAATTCTGTACAAAAATTTTAACAATTTTCTAATATCTGTAAAACACCTAGATTTCTGTTCACATTAAATTTTTATAAATTTCCATTATATTCATCAAACTTCCAGATTTTCTCTTAAGGAGCACCTGTTAGAAAGAAAATAACTGAAATTTATAGTGATCAACTTTACTGATTTACTTGTTTTTGTTTTAGAGTGAGTGGTGGGTGGATGGGCCGGCAATCTTTAAATATAGAGCAGCAGCCTGAATGTGGCCTGTGATCTATTTTTTGTTTGGTTGGTTTTTTGCTACATTTTAGATACTAAAACTCTCAATTTTTTCCTAGTCTCTGGAGAGTACAAGGAGAATTCTGGGTTTAGCCGTTGAGGTAAGAAAACATTTAATCATTGAGCTAAGTGTAACAACTGTATGTAGGAGGTATCCTGATAGCATAAACTGCACTTGGTGTTAAGAGTCAGAAGGATATTGTATCAGTAAACTTATTATTTGAAGCTGGCAATTGCTTAAATTGCTAAACATGCACAAATGGTCCTTTTTTATTTTTCCCATTGACAGTATTGGAGTATGATAGGGAAGATCAATTCACCATTAGTTTGTGACTGAATTATTTTGGCGGGGGGTCAATATGTTAAAATGTGTTGGTTTGGTGTATTAGTTTTCTTTGTAGCTCTAATCCTCTGAGAATATAGTTTTCTAAATGAGTCTCTCTTGCTTCTTACCAGGACTTGTAGGTTGTTTCTGTTGTTTGTTTTGTTTTGTTGTGCTGTGAGCTTTTCTTCCTCCTTTTAGTCTCGGGATGCAGGAATCAAGACTATGACCATGCTGGATGAACAAGGGGGTGAGTTGCAGTCATCGGTACAAGCTCTTGATTTGACTGATAATGCAGGAAAGCCCTTTCAAATCAGCCACATATGAAATTAAGTCTTTGGGAACGCCCTCCCTTTGTAAGAGAGTGGTGATGTGTTTACTTTTCTTCTGATTTGAATTATATCATGTTCATTGCCTATTTTAGGTGGTGGCAACAATGCTCAATTTGTATACCAAGTATTTGTTAGGTAGCCGGACTTATTATGTGCATTGGTTACATGTACAGTAGACATTATGATATTCTTTCATCCTTTTCAAAAACCAACTTAAGTCCTTAAAGGGTTCTAGATTCAGGTGAGCTTAGGAACATTCTGAGCAATCTGGTCTTAATTTTTTTAGTCTTATGATAGCCCTCAGGATTTGAGCCTATTCAATGATAGAAATTCTGGGTATCTGGTCTGGTCAAAATATACTTAATATGATGTTGAAGCAAACACTCACATGTTCCTATTACACAAATTTCTTTAGAATATGTCTTTCCACAGTAAGAGGCCAAATGCCTCAGGATCAGCATGTGAATGATTGTTTTCATGTTGGACAGCATCTATACCTTCTAGCACTGATAGAGTCCCTGTGATGGGTTATTGGTAGATTTGAGGTTAAATTTTGTTATTTCAAAATAATAACGTTTTCTGGTTGACAGTATGAATGTAACATAAAATGTTAATTTTTACAACTTATTCTTAGAACAACTAAACCGTATAGAAGAAGACATGGACCAAATAAATAAAGATATGAGAGAGGCAGAGAATACTTTAACAGAACTCAACAAATGCTGTGGCCTTTGTGTATGCCCATGTAATAGGTGAGTAGATAAATCAAGACCTTTTAAAAATAAATTTAAAGTGAGAGCATTCCTCCTCTTCATCCCCCTAGTAAGGTCAGAAGTGTGGATCTAAATAAGAAACTTTGTTAGATAATACGCTATTTTTCCTTCAGGCAGATCAAACTTTTCATGTTAGTGGCATGTTCACTGACAACCATGCTTTAAAATTGATCACTCCTTCGATCAAGTCCCAATTTCATTTTTTAATGATATGCAAAATATACGGTTTGAAATATACATCTGGATAATACAGAGCAGGGTGGAATTAGTGTCTTTTCCTTTCAAACAAGGAGTATTAACAAATATATATTCTGTGGTATGCACATAAGGGATGACCCAGGGAGTGAGGGATTTGGATCCTGTCTTCAAAGGAATTACTATGTCACTGGATATATGAGAAAGAATAGCAATAAGCAAAAAGTACATAAATCTAGTGTAGATCATGTGATACCGACTAAGGCTAAGGGCACAGAATTGATAGAGTTTCATTCGGGGAACATCTTATACAGGAGGTAGGACTTATGTTGGTGGGCACTGAGTGATTGGAAGGATTTTGAATGGACATGGAGGAACTGAGAGGGCATTTCCTATGGAAGATTTAATGTAAACAGAGATGATGGAGGAGCTTGATTTAACTGGGCTTTGTGATTTGTATAAGTGAGAAGTGGAAAATAAGACACAGGTAGGTAGTAGAGGAACTTGAATGCCAGACTAAGGGACTGATGGGTTGGAGTGGAGTATAACTGCATACTAGACTAGTTAGGATTCTTTTGTAATCCAGGTCTGTGAGGTTAGACCTTATGATTGAAATTAGAGAGAAAAGTATAAGTCAAAGAGAATTCATTTTAAATCAACTGATTGTATATCAAACACAAAGAAGAATCAGTGAAGGCTCCAAAGATTTGAAATCTCAAGTAAACTAGGAGAAAAGTTTTCAAACTATTTGTATATAGTGTATGAGATTATGCTTGACAGAAAGGAATTCATTCTTTTTGGTAAGTCCATTATGAATATTTAAATTCTCTATTTATTCTTGGGTAAACCAAACTCCATGGTGTTGACAAATATTGTATGTATTCAGATGAAGATGAGGTTTGGACTAAGATATTTAACTATTATCTTCCCTTCTGTTAGAAGAAGCTCATCTTTGTTCTGAAAAGTAATTAATAAAACAACTTTGAGTTTTACCTGTATTTGAAATGACAACGTGTGGAGATTGAATGACTGTCCCTAACTGCTGAGAGTATTAATTTTTAAAGAGCTTCACAAGAATTAGTACTTCCATCTAGTTGTTTCGCTGGTATAGTAAACCATGAGTGAGATATAAAGGTTTACAGACTCAGAATTTTTCCTCCTCAGAGAGTTAGGAATGGAAAAACTTCTGTTATGTTGTCATACTTTCAGATAAGTGTTTTCATGTGACAGCATTCTCTGCCATTTCTACTAGAGAAAATACTTTCTAGTCTTGTCCATTGGCTTCCTGCTCTGAGACAAGTCTGTGTAGGACTTGATTGATTCTCCAAAAGTGTATGTTTGAATAACTGTGACTTGTCAGTCAGGGTTTAGCAGATTATTTTAGACAAACAAATTAGAAATAGCACAGATTTTTTTGATCCAAACTCTTAACTATGTTTTGCAAACTTGTGCTTTTTCTCCTGTGTTCTGTGTACCTCTGGGAAGAGTGTCAAGGAGAAAAAGTAAATAAATTTCCTTGAGATTATATATGAGGAGCAGAGCAAGGAGAAAGAAGTTCTCCCTAGAACCTAGAGCATAATCAACTCTGAGTCAGAGGTTGCTAAACAGGAAGAACAATGAGTCTTAAGATGGTCTAGTATCATAGAAAGTGGGAAATTGAGCTACAGAAGTATTATTTTAATTTTATTTTTTGTATATCCCAGCCAAGCATAAGTAAGATTTTCTTGAACATTAGTAAGAGAGAAGGTAGAGTATGGTCCTGAAGCAGTCTTCAGCCTCTATCCTCATTAGAACCTTTTCTCAGTGGTTCAAGAGAAGAAGGCACTTCTTAACGAATGGAATCAAGGGGCTCCTATAACAGAACAGGTGTTCCCTAAAGAGGAAAGAGTCATATTCCAGTTTAAAAATGTCTGCTTTTAATTGCCTTACTTCCATCTATCTCCTCTTTGTACCATTGAGTCCCTGGCCTCTATGATGTATCTCTCATCCTTAGCTCTCTCTACCATCATTCCTGTCAGTGTCTTATGTCTTTCTAATCTTAGTGCTAATCTGTGTTTTAGTTAGGCTTATTATAGCTATAGCATGAACTTCTCAAAGGTAGAATCTTAGTTCTCTTTGTATAAATCTAGTACTAATTCTGGTAGTAATAGCAGCCCAGGTCCTCAGTCTCTTATCTGCCATTCAGAAATCTAAAATACTCTGAAAGCCAAAGACGTTTTTTCCCCATAATGTGGTGCCACAACTCAACAATTAGGTGACAAAATGTATCCTGAACTGAAGCTGTTTATAATCTTTATCACACTTAACATAAATGTTAATTTGTTTTACTGAAGAAATATGTATTTGATTATGTGCTCAAAATGTCTTGCATTGAAGGGTTTGAATAAGAGTTGTGGGCCTATAAGTTAATTTAGGCTCTTACTACTCCAAGCACTTTAAAATATCCTAACAGTAACCTTAAGATGAGATAGACTCTCATTTTGTCACCATTTTACATGTGGGGCAATGGAGGCACAAAAGCAGTCACACTAACAAGTTGGAGAGCTGAGATTCAAAACCAAGCAGAGCCCCAGCTTTTAATTATACATTGCCTGACTCTGGCAAGAAAATGGATCTTTTTGCCGTTGCTGCCTAATGTATTGCTGTATAGAAAATGTCTTGAGTAGATTTGTTTTTTGAGATTTCTTTTGTTCAGTAGTATTCATTGAAGTCAGGTCAGCAAATTAAAAAGACATAGAAATAGCTTTACTTAACAGAACCCTGTATTAGAAGGGAATTTAAACTTTAGCTATTTTTTTTTTAAAGACACTAGAATTTAGAAACAGACTACCAGGATTAAACTTTAAAATTGTGAATAAATGTCATTCTGTTAGCTTCCTGCTCTGAATCCTAACAGCAGAATAACACAGATCCTTTTTAAAATTCTGTGCTTCTGACAGTAACTTTAATAAGTTGTAATTTTAATTAACAAGTGTTTAAAAAGAGGCAGGCTTAAAATGGGAAGTCTTAGATTAGTAAACTGCCTAGTGTCCCAGTTTAACCATTCACATACAAGGTATTCTGTCTTAACTTACCTGTCTTCAGCCTGTGCTTATAACATCAAACATAAAGGCACTGTCACATAGTTTGAAGACAAATTGGTATTTCTGGACCACTTACTAGAGAAGTTCAAAATTGGTACTATACATTTTCTACTGTTCATACTAAGGTATACAAATTTGGCTCTGATTGCTTAACATCAATAATTGAACTATATTTGAGTTAACACTTGAGTGCTTCCTCCATCCTACTCGCTGGAGATATGAAGGATGAGTAAGGTATAGCTGGTGCAGTGTCGTTTGGCATTACTCTGTTTTGCCTCACATGGTACCTGATATGTAGTAGGTGCTGAATAATTGCTTGTTGATTGAATGTCCTTGAGAATCTTGTTGGCTGCTGGGAGAGTTAGACATGTAAAAAGATTTTTAAAACTTAAAATTCAAATAAGATATGTAATAGAAATAATGAAGAGAAATCTGTAGTCAGGTTTCACAACCTCTCCATTAGTTTTTACCTTTTCTTCATACTGATTTTCATAGTTTAGGAAAGCATAGCATCATCCAGACATTTTTAGGAAAAATGAAGTGTGCTCTGGTTTAAATAATTTTCTTGTTTTTCTTTTTATCTAGATTCTCAGCTGTTGGTGGTTTCTGTGAAACCAGGCAGGAATTTAAATGCATTATGTATTTAGAACTCAAAACCTGCTTCAGTTCTGTTTCACTGGCATTCACTGTTTTCTGCATTTCATTCTCTCACCTAATCTCTTCCTTTCTAATCTGCTTACTAAAAATGAAGATTTAACATCAGAAGCCGGGCTCAGTAGCTGATCAAAGGGAACTTTAAGATGCAGTCTTGTGGCGCAGTTTGGGCTGGTAACCTGCTATCTAAAGGTGATGCTTCAAATGGCTTTTCTGTGCATGTGCATGGATTTTGTGAATGGTGGAGACTTTCTTAAAAACTGTACTGTGGTTTGTTATGTGAAGTGTATTTGTTCTTGATGGGTGCTGTCTGCCAAAAGATGGCCTTGACAAAAGGATCATAATTTATAATGCCATTCTTTTGACTGATGGCTCTAATAGTTTTTGCTAAATAACATTTAAAATTAAAAAAATAAAAATACCCCTGAAGTTTCCTAAAACATTTTAAGTAGGTTGATATTGTAGAGAATTGCTCCATTCTAGTTCTAATCAAAGGTTAGTGAATTCAGGCTAAGTCCATCTCTCTCCATAGGACTTTGATTTCAGCATCTGACCTTCTATTAAGTTTCCCAATGCTTTTCTGGTTCCAGAATCAACATTTTCTCTATGAAAGTGTTGTATCTAATGTTTTGGATTCCCCATGACTTAGGCTACTACCAAATTGAGGAGTTAATTGGCAATCTAGTCATCTTAAATACCATTTGGAACAAGGTGGGATGTAAATTTAAAATGCTACCGTTTATAGTATCTTCTTTATTAAAATAAAGGTTTTCCCTCTTTATAAACTATTTGATAATTCCTGTTCTGTCATGTGTTAGCTTGCTATGGTTTCATGTTGAATTAATATGGAATTAAGTAATCTTAGTTTTTTATGGAATTTAACCTCTTAAGTCAGTCAGTCTACTGTTTATTATAATGTTTGACTCCTTTAATTTTGGATCTTTATGGGAACTGTGAAGATCATGGTTAAATGTTAGAAAATTAAGTATTTGATTTCTGCCCTTTGTTTCTTGCCCTCCTTTTACTTCTTTCCTGTAGCCTGATCATCCAGCATGCGCATGTACACACACACACACACACACACACACACACTTGCCCTTTGTTTCTTGCCCTCCTTTTACTTCTTTCCTGTAGCCTGATCATCCAGCATGCGCATGTACACACACACACACACACACACACACACACTAATTACACCTGGTATTTATTTGATCCCTTTCTCCTTTATATAAAGATTTATAGCTAATATTGGCCTTTTTGCTATTTTTATTAAGTTAATATTAATCTTGCCAACCAGAACTAGATAAAGAAGTTGTTAAAAGTTATTGAGTCCACATCCTGATATTTGTTATTTCTGCTTTTTGTGGCAACCTCTTAAATTGATTAAGGGATATTTCAGATTCTCATTTCAAACTTGCCATTTTTGAATGAAATATTTATATGGTAAGAAAAAAGTTGTAGTTAAAGATACTAGATTCCTCAAAACTGACAGTTGAAGTAAACCTTAACTTTCCAGGTGGACATCTTAATTGCATTAAGATATATTACAGATTTGCTTAACATTTTGTCACAAGGTCTAATTTCTTCTCAGAGGGGCTTTACATTTTATTGTGCAAAAGATCAGAACCATTTCTTACTGTAGACCAAAACAACTTGAGCCTAGATGTCTTTTTATGTAGCTGTATTCCAACTATAGTTAGCTTCCTGTCAATCTCAAAGCTTTGGGGTGTTAACAGGCCAGAAGAGTTAAACATGCCAATTGATAATCTGTGACTGAAAAGCGTGAACTGTTAACTAAGCATCAGGTTGAGGTTGAAGCCAAAGAATAAAAATATTTGTCTGTGCTTTTCAAAACAATTTATACCTATTACCAACAGAACCTTTTCATAGCACTTATTAAGTATTAGTATTATCTTAGTTTTACATATAAGGAAAAGGATGATCAGAGATGGAAGTTTGCTTAAGTTCTCTACCTGCTGAACCACAGGTCTAGGATTGGGATTCAAGTCAATATACTAGAAATCTGTGGCTTTAAAAAAAAATCCTAGTATGTACCTTTGCTTACTCCAGATTAATTCCTCTGAAGTGGGCTACCAGTGTAATTTAAAATATTCCTTCTACAGCAGATTGGAGGTGCCTTAGAACAGTATTTCTCTTACTAAGTAGGTAGCTAAATGACCTTTTGAATTTAAATAAAAGAATAGTAACAACAGAAGATTCCCAGACCCTACCCCAAACATACTGAAGCAGAATCTTCAGAATGTAACCTATGGATTCAGTGTGTTCAAAAGCATCTAGATCGCTCTGGTGCTTCGTCAAGTTGGGAAATAATACCTTTAGAGCATTTCATCCTCTTTGAAAGAAAATACATTAGATTGAAACCCTTAATATTTTTTATTAGATAGGCAGCTACATGGCAATGCCTTAAAAACAGGTAACTTTCAAGGGTCTTTCAACTTGGTGGGAGAAACTCCAGGGTAGTGGCAAGTGGCAGAATCTTGAGAACCAGAAGGCATTACCTGAAGTGGAGGTGCTGAATGAGACATGGAGTTACCATGAGGATGAAGATACAAAATGAATAGCATTTAAAAAGCATCTCTTCATAAACATGCTGGACATGTCATAACTGCATGAAAAAAGTGGGTTTTTTTCCCAACCCATTTAAAAGTAAAGACAACCCAGTGCAAAGCTGTAAAGAAAACTGTCAAACTCAGCTTTTTGTAACTTTTCCCCTTGATATTAGAAACAAATCTAAAAGGATCCAGTCTCTTAAAGGAAGAAGGGTTTGATAACCAGTTTGATTTTTTTCTTATGACACATATTATGCTTTAATTGAACCTCATTCACAGTATGTTAATTTATTTGTATCTTATGGCCCTTCTGTTTAATTGTGGAGGGAAGAATTCTCTAAAGTTTAAAGAATTTTAAATCTTATCTTTTAGAATTGAGAAGGAGGTTGGGGCATGTATATATTCTTCAGTACACTGGGTGCTGGCAAGTCCTGTTCAGGACTACTCTTTATGTGCAGAGACACAGAAATGTAATGTCTTACTATTAAGTGACTTTTGAATTTCAGCCCTCATTCTTTCACCTGTTCCACAATCTGACATACTGTAAAAGCCCCACTTATCTTACTTAAGTTAGTATTTATGGTTATCAACTTCATGGTAAAATAATATATTGTTTATTTTATTTACTAGGTATCACTCTGCTTTAGAATTTTGCCTGGGACCTATCTTATTAACTTAGAATACATGTAAATGGGTTTCACTAAGAATGATTATGTATAAATATTCATTAATAAAAGGTCTATCCCACCTTGTTCCAGGAAAAATTTAACATAGCTTATTAATAAATAGATTAATTAGTAAAACATAATAGCATAAATAGGAAATTAATTGTGTTAAAGTGAAACCAAGAAAGGCATTTTGAGAAGTAGCTCTACAGTGTTTGTAGATTTGTTTATCTTTTCAGTGCCTCTTACAAAAAAAGTAGTGGTACCGTTTCTATAGTATTAATGATAAGGTATAAGATCCAATTCTAGATTTGCCAAAAATGAATCCTCACATGTCTGTTAAGGAAGGGACCACTGTTTTCATAAAACCTCTCCTGTTTTTGCAATTTCAAAAGTTCCTCCTTAATATTATTATGTGGAATATATCAGAGGACCAATATTATAACCATATACTACTTTTTGTTTATAGAAAAATAAATACTAAAGTTGGATGAGTTAAAACTGTACCTAACCAAATAATCAGTAAAAATGTTCTGTGTTATTTTTTTGTGGTAGCCATTCACAAGTCACTTTATTATGCTCTTTTTCTTGCCATTTTTACCAGTTTGAGTAATAAGTCCTGTGGTAAAATTCTGCCTTTGACTGATTGTAGCTATTTATATCAGTTACATTTAAAGCATAACCATTATTTTTAAGAGGCCTGGATTTGGGATCATTTTTTTTTAAAGGAGGGAAAGTAAGCTCTTACATGAAAAAGCTCTAAGTCAAAAGATTTATAAGTGGCACCAGTGTGGCCAAAGTAGTCTCATTGGCTGTTCAGTTTGGAGGTAATTAGTGCCTTTCCTTCATGCTGTTTATTTCTTAAGAAACCCTTTCAAAGATGTTAATACAAATTTCTAACTTCAAAAAATTGAACAGCTGGAACTACTCTGGTTCAGGTAAGTGGGCAGCTAGGGTCTAAGTATTGCCCACTCAGCAGTCTCTCTCTTCCATCTCTCATCAACCCCTGAGGTGTCTCCAGGGAACCTTTTAGGGCATCCTGGAACACCTTCCCTGAGGAATTTTTTTCCTAGTGCCAATTAACCTCTTTCCTGGAGAGTATCAGAGGCTAAGGGAACCTGAACAATCAAATAATTGCATTTTGTTATTTGCTAACTGCTTAGTGAAGATTTGGTTGGAAGTATTTGAACTTTTAAAAAAAAGTTTAATGTCTGTGGTTTACACAATTCATGTTTCTTCGATGTCATATTGCAATGGAACATAGCATAGATAATCTAGATATAGCTGTATGTAGCTTTTATGGTAAGGGTGATCCTCAAGGTTATAAGCATTAGTAATTACAATTCTCCCTCTCATGCAATTCTTTCTGTTCTCTCTCTATATATTGACTCATGTAGGACAAAGAACTTTGAGTCTGGTAAGGCCTATAAGGCAACATGGGGAGATGGTGGAGACAGCTCTTCTAACAATGTAGTGTCTAAGCAACCAGGCCGAGTGACAAATGGTCAGCCTCAGCAAGCAACCCCAGGAGCAGCCAGCGGTGGATACATTAAACGGTATTCTAGCTCCTTCTGGTATTTTTACCCCTTTCCTAACTAAATGGCTCAATCAGGAAGGTGGGTGTAGTTACACATGAACCTTCACTCATCAATTAGAAATAGCATTTATTCCAGTTTTAAAATGCATTTAATAATCTGCCTTCTGACAGTTTTAGCTGTGGTGGTTGAACTTCAGAGATGGATTAACATTACTTTGTATTTTTCAGTACTTTCAAAATTAAGTAAGCATGTTTTACTTCTGTAAATAGGAAAATGTTTTAAAATCTCCATCTAGAGTATAGATCAGCCAGATCCCTATAAGGATACCTGTAAAGGGTCAGATAAGTAAATAGTTCACTTTGCAGGCCATACAGTGTGTCACAACTATTCAACTCTGTTGCTAAAGAGTGAAAGTAGCCATAGATAATATGTAAGCAAATGAATATGGCTGTCTTCAAATAAAACCTTATTTACAAAATGAGGTGGAACATCACATGTGGCTTTTGGGCCAGAGTTTTGCTACCTCTGTTATAGAGCAAGCAGTTCTTTAGACTTCAGAGTGCATCAGAATCACCTTGGAGGTTTATTAAAGCACAAATTGCTAGGATCCATTTCCAGTCTCTGATTCAGTAGATCAGGAATGGAGTGCAAGAATTACATTTTTATGTCTAACAAGTTCCCAGGTGATGCTGGGAATTACAGTTTGACAACCAGCTTTCTAGAGTTGTTTCTTAATCTTCTCTTAAGTGACTTTAAGACATTATGCTCTTTGATCGGTCTTTCAGTTTTTACTGTAGAATGTTTTACAAGAATGGTAACCTACATTCCCTTGGACCTAACACTTGCTGAGGTCATTTTGGTCGTTTTTATGAAAAGTAATTCCAGACTTACTCCATTTATAATTTACCAAAAAGTACTGAATTAGCTATCTTTTTGTGATAGTATAACTAATGATGCCAAAGAAGATGAAATGGAAGATAACCTGACTCAAGTGGGCAGTATCTTAGGAAATCTAAAAAATATGGCTCTGGACATGGGCAATGAAATTGATGCTCATAATCGACAAATAGAACGGATCACAGAAAAAGTAAGTTACTTAGTGCCATAGGAAAATAAGACATCCAGTACAATTAGTACAATTATTTAACTAATGGCCATCTGTGCGATACTTAGGAGAACATCAGGATAAGACCCTATCTCACAGGTGTAAAAGTTTTGGCGAGACAGCAGTTCTAACATTGAAAAACAATACCCAAGGTTTTCATGCCTCCTGTCTCTCGCTCATGGCAGTTGGTTCATTTTTGAAACCAAGACCTTGGAATGAAGTCGTTTTATTTAAATTTCGCACATGAAACTTAGAATCTGTTCTAACCTTACAATGGGCCATCTTTTTTTCCCCTGATAAACAATTTAGCTTTTGGAGTTTTTTCTTGTTAATAACAAATTAGTAAGTTCCTAAATCCTCCTCTCATGAGTCAGTAGGTGAAAATGAGTTCATCAGAGTAGTTGTGTAGTAGACACACAAAATAGGGTCCTGTGGTAAAGAATGTGATTGCAATTTTTTTATTTCACATTTTAAAAGATACTGAAAGTGAAATTGTACTCAGTTTGGTTGTGTCACATCTAAAAGCCATTCCTTTTTGTTATTTCATTAAAATAATAATACCTTAAAGGATGGATGAGTTGAATTTTTAAGCTTTTCTCTTTGTTGAATCGCTCACAATGGATTTCATTGAGGCGAACAATGGTTTGTAAGATGCTTTCGAAGCTCTTGTGTGGGTTTAGGCTACATATTATTCATTATTTTAATTCAGATATCGATGTGGATGATAACACATCTGTTCCAAAAATCCTGTCGAAGGTTATTTCAGTCTCTCTGGGATAGACCTAAGGTAGCTCCAGATGAAATTCTGTGATTCAGTTCAGGGGACTCTCCAAAGTTCGTGATTAATAGTGGAGAATATTCTAAATTTCATTGCATCTAAAATGCCATTGATTATAAGATGTATCCCAGTTTCAGACATGTTAAACTATGGGAAAATGTGTTAAGAAATTTAAGAAATACTGGCAAGTTCTTCATTTATGTCTTTGTCACATTTATATACCCAGTTTTTCCAAATGAATTTCATATTGTCATTTCCTGCCCAAAATAAGTTTTGTTATGTGACTTCAACTGTTTCCTGAATTTTCTCATTGTGTCAATTACGCCAAGTGTATGAAATTTAACTTTTATTAGAGCAGCTTACCTTGTAACACAGCACTGACATCTTTGTCTTTTTTTTCAGGCTAACACCAACAAAGATCGTATTGACATTGCCAATGCCAGAGCAAAGAAACTTATTGACAGCTAAAGCTCCTGCTGTCTTCTTTATCATTTATTCACTTTCCTAGCTGCTCCTTCAGTCATTACCTTTTCAGAGTTTTAAATTTTGGTTCTGTACTCTTCTAATCAGGAGATAATGTGGAGGAAGGGATAGGGGTACAGCCCCTATTTTTTTTTATGTTCTCTTTTTCCCCTTGAGAGTAGACTGCTTCTCAGCCTTCTTTCTAGTATTTACTTTCTCAGTTCATACTCCTAGATTGGTTTTCATACATCATATATGATGTTGTTTTTCATCTTCACACTTACTTTTTAGTAGGTTCTTTTGCTTTCAAGATTTGGAAGCATTGCCAAAGACAGCCATGAGAAAGGAAGCTAGAGGCAGTGTGAGGGGGCACAAAAAGGAGAGGCAATAGATGAGAGGTTGTTACCTCAGTAGAACCTGTAGGCCACAAAGCAAAAGTTGCATAGCCATAGTGAAGATCCATCAGAGTTTAGTTTCTAATTCAAGTTGCAGTTATTGCCAGTTTAGGCTAGTACTTGGTTTTGGAGCTTTTATACACATATTTTGTTATTATATATTATATCACAACTTTGCAACCTCTGCTCCAAAAGAGTTTTCTTCAAGTGGACTTAATTTCTGAACTCTTGGTGATTCATATATGTATATAGATTCTATGATCCCATATCATACTGCACCATACAAGAACACTTTGTATAACTGAATAGCTTTTTATTTTCATATTAGTAGTATCATGGTCCCATTACAGACCTATTAACCTCATAAATTTGTCATTTGCCTTTGAGGAAAAAGTATGTAAATATGTATGTGTTAACACGAGAATTTCTCTCTAAAGCAGGGTTTAAAATTTTTTGGAAAAGTTTCACAAACTGTATCACATGAATTTAGATTTACCTCAAAGCCAAGAATTAGGTTTAGATAGAAAAAAAGAATCTTTGTTTTCATCTCAGGTAGAAAATTAGTTAGATTGCTTTGCATTTTATGTAGCTTTAGACATTAAAAAAGGTAGAAATTATTCTATTTAAAAATGACTTGGAAAATTACACCGTTGGTTTAATTATTGATAATTGCACTATCATTCTCTCAGTGTTTTATATAGAACTGTGTCCACAATTCTGTTTATTTTCGTAACAGTGTTATAAGAATCTGATCAATATTTGTCACATTTATTTAAGAACTAGTATCTGTATACTTCAAAGCTATTAATGTGGATTGGTTTGACTAATAACCACTGCTTGGTCCTTACAATTAAATTTTATAACTAACTACTGGAATTGTTCTTTTAAATAGGTAATGTATTTCTGTGAATATTATGCGGGAGGCAGTAATTTCATCAACTCTTAGTTTAACTAATAGCATAAAGCAAAGGTCCATAAATCAAGAAGCACTAAAATGGAAAGCTGCCATTATTAGCTTCTTTCCCATTTTTGTTGGAAATAGAGGACTTCCCTTTCTGTGATTTGTCATGAGGTTCATTTTAATTGTTACTAGTTACTAGTCTTTTTAGTCATTTGAGCTTAAATACACTCGTTGCTGAAAGGATGGCAATTTATGAGAACTACAACCCACTTTCTGCAGATACAGTTAACATTGGGAACTTTGAAAGGCTGAAGAGGAAAAAATTTAAATGTAGATTCAGTTAGGCAATCCCTAATATAAGTGCTCCATGCCAAAAGGAGTAGTTTGGCAAGTGATGGCAAATGTGTAAAGCAAGAAAGTATAAAAACACTGGGGATTGTGCTATACCTAAATGCCCTAAAAGCATTAAAAAAAATAAAGTAACATTGTTATGACAAAGGAGATAATTCTGAGGATACCAGATGCTGCCCCACAGTGAGGTTGGTTAGAAGTGTGAGCTAAGACACCCAAGTGTCTGGATTTGCACTCTAGCTTTGCCACGTGCTGGCTTAGTGACCATAAGCCCAGTTCTGTGCTTCAGTTTCCTTGTCTGTAAATGGGGATTAATAATTCCTGCTCCACTAAGTTGTTGCAGAAACTCAATGTGGTAATGCATACAAAGTCCTTAGAGCAGTGCCAAAAAACATAAGAGCTTAATAAATAAAAGCTGCTATTCTTTTTAGAATGGAGCTCTCTTTGGCTTCAGGATCACTTTGAATTTGATAAAAGACAACATAGCCTATCTCCCCAGAGAAACACACAGACATGAATCATGCATAAATCAGAATCATGCATAAATGCATCTTGAAAGCCTATCCATGGATCCCAGGTTACAAAGGTTTCCAAAGTTTCTGCTAAGAAAGAAGAGGGACAAGGCCATAGCAATTAGGCCCCATAACGCATTAGAAATACAAACTGTTGATTTAAAGCCTTTTCTAATTTTCTTCTTTAACACTTTCTGGAAACTTGTTTCCATTACTTTTGAAAGGTAGTAACTGAAGAGGTTAACACAAGCTCTAGGAGTCCAACCACCTGGTTTCAGTCATTTACTAGTGTGACCTTAGCATAATACTAACCTATAACTAAGGAGTTAAAACAGTGTCCCTCACTGAATTAGAATTTTTTTTACAGCACCCTCATCAAGTTTCCAGTCTTAACAATGATTTTGTCCCCTATAGTGCCTGTTTTATTCTTCCTTCACAGTTTTAGTTCATCCTTTATTACCAGACTTTAACTCTAGATCTTTTCATGTCATGTGTGGGCTGTCAATCCCCCCTTAATTTAAATTTCTACTTCCCAGACATTCTGTACTCAGTTGCACTTAGAATTAATTTGTTTAAATGCTGTTTCCTTTAGGTCACTCACTTACTAATATTTAGGTTATCCCAATTGTATTCCAAATCATATTAAATCCAAATCATATATTCCAATCATGTGTATTTCTCAGATTGATATCCAAGTTCTGTGTTCTGTAGTCATTGTTTTTCATCCTTTTTAATGTATCTGCTCCAAGCTTTCTATTTCTGTGCAACTTGGTAAATTCTAATTCCTTACAGATGAAATAAATGGCAACATTTATTGAGTGCTTAGTCTGTCCTGGACACTGCTAAATGCTTTTATGTAGTTTCACCACATCCTCATAACATTGAAAGTATTGCTCGAAAAGTATTCCCCATTTTACAGGTAAGAGTAAATTGCTCAAATTATAAAGCCAGTAAATGATGGACTTTGGATTCAAACGAGGATCTTTCTGACTCCAGGGCCAATGATCTTAATATATTACACTGACTTCCAACCAAGCTCTAAAAGAATGCAGATGACCTAGGACTAGTAGCCAAATTAGAATCGGTCTGCCTCCAGACCACAAGTCAACCTCTTTTGTTAGCTCATATTTAAGTCTAAATACTGCATGCTATAGCTTTGGGTATATGACTTTATATAGTTCTTGCTCTCAAGTAGCTCATTATAGCAAGCAACAGACAAATACAGAATATAAGAAGTGCTGTCATGACAGATGGGAGGGTAATTAATTCGGCTTAGACTTAGAAGGGCTTAGACATAAGGAAGGAGGATGTTCATGAGAAAAGGCACTCGTGACTGAGTAAACAATGTAAATTTGGCATGAGCAAAATAACCTGTGGGTTTAAGGAGCCGAAAAATCTGGTATGACTGGGCAGGCAAACGAGAGTAAAGAAAGGGTATCTGGAGATAAGGCTGGGTTTGAGCTGTGAAAACTTACAGTTATAACTGATTCTCATAGGGGTGGGATTTTTAAACTCCAACCAGTTAAATGTCTGAGGACATTTAATTTATAAATTCTAATTTTTAGGTGACAATTATTGATAAAAACTTAGAAAATGCTAGTTCAGTAGACCAGTAAGTAAGCACTGAGGTTATAAAAAACAAAACTCAGTTAAGAATGATAAACTGGCATCCCATCCCTTCTCAAATTGAGAAAGAGAAAATAACATGAGAAAAAGTATACCTAGACCAGATTTAATCTTCATACAGATTAAACACTAAGCTCTTGTGATCTCTGGACTTAATGGTTAAACTAAGTTTGAAAAACAAGAACTGACAATACATGGTAAATAATAGTCCTGGGCTAAGACAAAACTTCAGAAAATGACAGTGGTAGCTTTCTAAATGTCCACATCAGTAACAATCTGAAATCACCTACCTTTGTACCTTCAGTTTCTCTTAATAAGCATGTTTCCCAGTACTACAAAATGTTTATCAGTCATACGAAGGCATTTCAATACTCATGCAACCTTAACAAGAACATGTAACATTTCTTCCTAACCAGAAGGACCCTTTCAACCAAAAGGCCATTTACAGATTAAATTTCTTCTGTCTTCCCTTAAAGGATTAACCTTTTTCTTCAGGCAAAGTTCATTAAAAATTCTTTATTTAGTATATTCTCATTCAGAGAGTAAACTTGATAAACATGCTGTTTTAAAATATTGTAGCAGTAATTTTTTGTTATTTGATTTGATTAGTAGAGTTATAAATACAAAAAGGGAAAAAGATTACCATAAATAAAACATTATTTCTAACAAAGCTTCAGGAGAATCTTGATTATTAAAACCCCTTGTATCTTACAAGTTTTGCATATACAGGTTTTAGCTCATCAGAGTCCATACTAGTAAGGCACCTGCAATAGTAAAAGCTTCGTTACTGCAGCCTTGGGGAAGATTCTTAGTGTTGTGTTGGTGCTTCTCAGACAAAGTAACTTTTAATCAAGACAGTCACATATTTACATCTAAATTCCAAATATAAACATTGCAATTGAATTGATGGACTGGAATAAAATAAATCCTTAGATTAAGCGTAGCAGACTCAAAAGTCATTTTAATTTCATAAAAATAGGAAATGTCAAACAGGTGGAATGGCAACTGACTTTATGAAAGCTCATAAACTTAAACTAAACATGACATCTCAAGCTATGATGTAGAGTGACTCTGTTACCAGGCAGCATACCTTCACTTTATAAATAGTAACTAGCTCCTGGTTTCTTAAAGCCAAACTAATGATGGTTTTGAAGATCAGCATTGTCCTTTGCCCTATCCATGACTCAAAATGGAAGACTTGTCTCTTGATTCCTTTTAGCTTATTTGAGATGAGCCCTAGAAAGGAAAAAGATCATTGAGTAAAATACAATCTCCTGAACTGCAGATATCTTTGACAACAGGAGCCTTTGATTCACCCAGGTTGCAACAGGTTCCAAGTCAGTGTTTAAGGATCTCATGTTCCTGGAGAACATCATGCAAACTTCTTCTTGGTGGCTGTGAACCTCTCCATGTACTAAAAATCATGAAAGAAGAATATATATGTGATATTTTGGCATGAGCAAATATTAGCCTATTTAGGATTTTATATGATTTTTTTTCATTTAGGTTCATTGTAGAGAGTCCATTTCCTATAAAATCTACCTGTTCTAAATGCTAAACACAGGTTTTTTTCTATTATATTTTAATAGGAAACATCAAAAGATAAAGATGCTTTGTAATAAGCTGTCTAGAGAAAAAGTTATCTTGGCACAATATCACGTGACTAATACTTAGAATCCACCTCCAAAACGGGAAACAAATCCTATTGGCATAACAGGATTACACATATATTCTGTAGCTATCCACACTTGTGCACATAACAGTTCTCTGGATCAGTGACTAGAAATCCCGAAGTGCACTAATACATACCTTATCATATCCTTCCAGTTCTCGAAGTTTCTTTATTTCAAAAAGGTTGCCTTCCACAGCGAGCAGACAGATCTGGGAATCACTGAGGATGCTCTGTGGAAGCATGCTGAGCTCAAGACAGTTCTCTTCCAGGCGAAGAACTTTAAGATGAGGACAGCAAGATATCCTTACTGAAATCTGAGATATCTATTGAACAGCAGCAAAAAACAGGAGAAAGCATATGTGTGGTTATTTTTTACTAAATTAAAACAAAACTTTTTACTTGACTATTTGTCCTAGTTCTCTCACCGCCTCCCATTTTCTCACTACCTACTCATTCCAGAAGTTTCTGTTATCTAGCTTCTGTTACTACTATACTTTTCCAAGGGGAAAAATTGCTTTTTGAAGGTCACTAGTGGCATTTCTGAAACATTTTCTGATAATAAAACCACTTTCTACTATAGAAATTTTAAGAATCACACAAATCTAAGGAAAAGTTACCTGTAGTCCACCACCATAAACACTGTTTCACTGCCAATTTTTCGCCTGTATATAGATGCTCACCACTTCATTGCCAAAGTCAAGGATTCATTGTCCTCATTCCTTGTTGCATTTGACTGTAATATCAATTTGTTCTTTGAAACTCCTTCTTGTACCTAAGTACTGGGTTTTCTTCCTGTCTTTTGAATTATTCCTGATTTTTTGCTTCCCTTCTTGTTCCAATGGACATTTTACAAGCAGCGGTCCCTAATACTTAATATGTGATCTTTCTAAATGTTTTCCTAGAAAAGGCGTCCATTCTTAAAGCTGTCATTTGTTAAGACCTCAAATCTGTACACATTCATATCTGCTCACCTCTGCAGATTTCATGCCTCTGCAAGATTTTTGGTAAAACATTTCCATTTTGATGATTCAGCAGCATAATCAATTGCATGTCCATTCTCAATAGCATCATTCTTTTAGGCCCTCAAGCACAATACCAATTCTCTCTGATTAACTTAACACTTTCGCCCTTTAAATGCACCCAAGTCACCAAATTACATTGACTCTGCCTGGTATCATCTGGGAACTTGTTGGAAATGGCAAAGTGAATGGGAAACACTGAGGGTGGGGGCCTAGCAATCTCTTAATAAGATTCTCCTGATTATTCTGATGCACACTAAAATCTAAGAACCCATTGATTATATAAGGCAGCATAGGCGAATGTGAAGTAGCCAACTAATACATTCCTTAACAATTTTTCCCCCAAATTTGTTCTCAAATGTTCACAATTTTTTCCTAAAAATCTCAAGAACATACAAGAATATCCACTTTAAGGAAAAGATGGGACCAATCTCAAAGACATAGTGAATTTCATTATAACATAATGTCATTACAATCTAGAAGTTTGTTCAATAAAACTACAGTGATTGGGATGTTCCATTCTCTGTACTGTCCAATGTAGTAGCCATTAGCCACATGTGGCTTTTGAGTACTTGAAATATGATTAGTGGCAACTGGAGAACTTTATTTTTAAATCTAAATGAGTTTAATAGTCACATGTGTGGCTACTGTACTGGACTGTGCAAATGTAGAACAGACTAGAAAAACTAAAGGCCACCTAGTGTTACTATGTTTTAATGTTTCATCATATGTGCCTTAAGTCTAGACCAAAGATTCTCTGGTCAGACATACATTAACCAAAGAACTTCCAAAGTAATGGAAACGAATTACAAATATTACAATTAAAGCTCTCCCATAATGAACAGACTTTCTCCAGGAAGCCTATCACTGACAGTTTTTCAGCAAAAGCAGGACACACACTTGACAAAGACATCAAAAAAAGGACAAATGAATTATCTCTGATATCCAACTCTAAGAATCTATGAGTTTAATCCTCTTTTCTACTCTTATTTTCCTGACATAGCTCCTTGCTGGATGATTAGAGGTATATTTGAGGAGGATATGAAGAACTCAAGATTTATGAGGCAGTTGTTTAACATTTGAAATTGCTCATCCCACCTTCCTAAAGACACCTACACAACAAACGCACCCAGTGTCTCAACTAACTCCATGGCAATTTGAAATTAGTCCAGCCCATAGACTATTATCTCTCTTCTAGCTTCTGATACCCAGCTCCATGATCACAGTTTAGAGACAAGGGGTTATACAGGAGCCCATAAACCCACATACATAAATGCTGTAAAAGGAAAAAAAAAACCTTTAGCTCTAGACCTGGTTCTGGTTGAGGTTGAGTTCAATAACCTGCAGCTCCCCCACTATGTCAGGTATGCTCCGAATCTGGTTCTTGGAGAGATCCACTACATCCAGGTGCCGTAAGTTACAAAGTTGGGGTGGTAGCGCTTGAAGCTGATTCCCAGAGAGGCTCAGGGTCTTGAGGGCAGACAGTTGCCCAAAGGTAGATGGCAGCTCTCTCAAGTGATTGTTGTTTAGGCTTAGAGTATCTAGTTTTTTCAGACTGCATAACTCATCGGGAAGAACAGCTGACAAAGAAAAAAGTTTAAAAACCTGAATGATACCGTTGAAAACACTTTGATGAAGTTTATGAAAACTATATGGTAGCCTGATCTGTTTCTTGTTAATATACAAGAATTCCCAAATGTTCTACTATTTTTAAATATTCATTTTTTACCAACATAGTCTTCTGAAGGTGTGGGTGCCATTAAATGCAGGAAAGCATTTGTATAATGGGCTCCTTTTGTAGTAACCTCCACATAATCCGACAGCAATTTTGCGGAATTTGGAAGGCCCTCCCCTTCCCATTCGATCCCACTTTCCTAACTGGAAGCAAAATCAGTTGTTTACATTACATTCCAAAGATGATCTTCCCTTCTGAGTGCAAATTAACCCAGTACCAATCATTATACCACCTGAGGAACTTGTAAGAGGGAATTACAAGAGAAAGCTTCAAGGACTCAGACATTCTCCAGTTCTCTGAACGGTTTCATAACAACATCAAAAATCAGTTTTTAAGAGAAAACCACCCTTCTTAACAGCGGATCACTAGCAAAAGCCTCCCAGGCGCAAAAGCCATACTCAATTTGTTGTTGTTCAAGGAGAGGCTCTTCAGCAGAGTGAACTTCCCTATAATCATAGGCGGTAGGCTCTCGATCTTGTTGTTGGACAAGTCGATGGTCCTGAGATTGCTTGTCAGCTTCTGCAACTCTGAGGGGAACTGGAGAGAGAGGTTCACAACTCGGAGAATCCCTCGCCGACTAACTTCACCGCCCCCGGGGTCCCTCTCCCTTTAAATTCCCTGGTCCGGTCCCTCCCAGTCTCACCTCGGTCAGCCCACGGTCCTTAAGCTGAAAGACACCAGTTTTCTGCGCGGTTTCTACGTGAGCGCGGAGCGCACTGTTTCCCATCCTAGCGCCGCGGTTTAGGTCCCTGCCGGAGGGAAGCGCAGCCGTCACTGCTTGATCCAGGCACCCAGCCACCCCGCCGGCCTCTCGCTGGGTCCCAAGCCCCAGCTGTCACCTCTGGCCAATTCCTGGATCTTGGGGGCTAGCCCAAGAGTAGCAAGGAAGAAAGGGAAGAACAGAGCCCGACCGCCAGACCCTGTCGCCTTTACTGCTGGACGCCGCTAGGAGCCAGACCAAGGATCAGGGAGCCCCAGACTAGCCTCCTACCCTTCAGCGATCTGCTCGCTCGGCAGAAGACCCGCGCTTGCCGGGGATGCGCTCCCCGCGCTTCCGCCCGGGCGGAAACGCCCTATGATGTCATCAAGCCGCGCGGCGCGGTCGCAGTGCGTAGTACTCACTCACGGCACCGCTCAGAGAAGTGGGTTCCAGCCATGGCTGCGGCGAGTCCCTGGGACTCGGCGTCCGCACCGAACCCTGCCGGGGTACTGCTGGACCGTTTGGTGGCTTCGGGCGTCGTTACTCAGGTGCGTGGACGGCGATGGTGTCCTTAAGGTGGTGCTGGCTGCGATAGTGGGGCAAGGGTACGGGCTGAGGCTCCACTAGACTAGGGGCAGGTGGAGCCCCTTCCAGGCAACAGGAGTGACCGTTCTGTGGTGGGTTCTGCGATAGCAGAGCTCTGAGTGCATGGGTGTTTCAAGTGTCTGCAGGCGAGTTATCCCAGTCCAGTCATGGGAGCTAAAGACCAGTGTCTCCGCTTTTTTTCATCTATGATACCGCCTCTAGATTCTAATGGGTTGCAAGGTTAGGAAATACGGGTAGATAGTTAAAACATAATCCCCAAACAAAACTCATTTATGTGAGGTATTGGACATATTTGGGGCGAGAGTAACAGGGTGCAGGAGAGCTCCAGGGAGAGCACACATCCTTAAAGGCCAAAAAAAAAAAAAAAATTTACAAAAGGACCCGAAACACCTTGGAATGTGAATGGAGGAAGAGCAATTTATAGAAGGAAAGGAGAGGGACATTAGCCAAAAGGGTGCTCGTTTTAGGGTCAGCAAGGAAAGCATGTTCATAGGCCAAAGGTAAGAGCCAGTAGAGGGAGAAATTGAAAATATGAGGAAATAATGAAATACAAGTGGCAGAAGCGACTAGGGAATGGGGACAGTGGGATTGGGGGAAATAAATTTTTTGATAGCAAGGAAGTTGAGTTTCACTAAAAAGAAAACAGAAAAGTAGAAAGGTAAAAACATAATAGGTTAACAGTATGAACATGATGGGATATTTATGGAAAATACACAACTTTTTATACATAGAAGAGTCATTAAAGAATAACTACTGTACAGTATTTTTAAGATGAAGAAACTAAGGCCTAAGGAGACCAAGAATCTTGTCCAAGGTCACTCAGCTAGTGAAGCCGAATTAGATCCCTAGAGTGCTCCCTTTTCTGACACACTGTATCATCTCTGATGAATTGTGCTAGTGCTGTGACACTATCTTGAGTTTAAGCTTCTGTTGAAAAACTCTCCCAGATTACTTAGAAGACTTTGTAACCAGACCTTGTAGATTTTGGGGGATTGAGCGGGTAGTAACGAGTGCCTGGGAAATAGGCAAAACAACCACAGCACTCCCCAGTTCTCACACCTTCCTCATTTCTCTCCTGATTTCTTCCTACCAAGTTGCCCAGTACTCTCCTGTATTGTCCAGTTCTGTAACAAAGTAATTTGGTAAACCTGTAAGACATTTGGGACTTATCCCTCAATGAGCATACTGATAGATGATATAAACACCTAAACCAAAGGAGTGAATCATTGGTGAGAGACTTTTTGGCATGGATATGACCAAGGATCAGGGAGCCCCAGACTAGCCTCCTACCCTTCAGCGATCTGCTCGCTCGGCAGAAGACCCGCGCTTGCCAACTGGCTGTTGGGGTTGGGGTTGTTTAGGGGAGGATCTTCCTAGTGCAGTTACCTGTTTTGCCTAAAGATAAAATCTGCCAATCCATAGCTCCTTAAAACCATTTTACAGTCTTACTGCCCAGCTAATCCCAATGAGGAAATTTAACAGATTGGTAGCATGATTTTATTTTAAGCAAACTTGACATATGAAAACCTATTTTTATTAGAAAGGATTTAGTATTGCTTCTTTCAAAATGTAAAATATTGTTCCTTTAATCAGTCTATCTCTTAAGTGCACATCATTCCATGTTCATTAAAAATTGAGTGATGCCTAAAATTGTGATATGACACAACTCTACTGGAAAACAAAGCTTGTTTGAGCTTTGTTCTGTTTTGATCTATCCATTGGAGAATGATTTAGTGAAAGGCAGGATTAACTGTCTGTAGGATAATACACAGTATTTACTTTCATTTGTGCTCTAGGACTGTCTTAGTGGCCTTATATCCTAGATATTTTTCCAGCAAGCTTTAGTGTGTCATGGCATCTTGATCAAAGCTCCCTCTACTGGCAGTGCATAAGATAAGGATTTGGGCCTACAAAAAACCCTCAGATTATAATCATTTTCTAATATGTATTTAATACTATATATATGTGTGTGTGTGTGTGTGTGTGTGTGATTGTGTGTAATTTACTATATTCTTAATCTGTATCCTGTCCTCCTCTGTGCCCCTCCCCCAATTTAGAGCCTCTGTTCTTAACTTCTGTGCTATACTGCCTCCCTTTTATGTCTCCCAGCTAGAATTCAGTATGAAGAATGAAAGGTAAAAAAGAAAAAAAAAGAATGCTCACAGATGCTAGTTTATACACACAACTGCTTTCATTTTCTGCATTCTGACTCCTTGCCATAGCTGTCAAGCTCTCTCATGATTATATAGGAAACCACATTTCCAGATTCAGCATCCCCTTCCTCTCCTGTATATGTGAGGATTAGAATACCTTTTCCTTCCTGTCATCATGAACTTGTAAAGGTCAGAGAGCTTGCTTTAATTTTCCATTGCCTAACTCAATAAATGTTTATAAAACTGATTATCATTGGTTAGCACACTTCTGCTAGGAAGGGCTGGAGCACAAGTATTTGAGGCTTTTTGGTTCATATGGTTGCAACTAGGCTGCTGTACTTAGAAAGAGATAATAAGTAAATGAGTGGGAGTTGAGTTCCAATAAAACTTTATTTCTGGGTCCTGAAATTTGAACTTTTTATAATTCTCATGTACCACAAAATATTACTTTTCTTTTGATATTTTTTCCCCAACAATTAAACCTTAGCTAATGGGCTGTATAAAAACAGACAGTGGACTGCATTTAGTTCATGAGCTTAGTTTTACAACCTGACCTATACAATCTCTAAAGTTCATTCCTGTGCTAACATCCTGGAAAAGAAGAGGATACAGAAAATTATGGATGATGCCAACAGATGAACAAGATAATATTCTGAGATTACCTGCAATTTAAGGAGTCAGTATAGGCAGCCAATATCCTGCATAGGATGAAAGGGTGAAAAAAGGAGGGGATAATAACCTTTTTAGAAAAATAATTATGCATGGACAAAAGAGTCCTTTAAGTGAGAATGTGAAAGGAAACTTTATGAATGACTTGTAGCCCATAGAGGTCATCAAAGAATCAGATAAGTTACTCCACTGGGGGACAGTGTTTGCTTTTAGCCCCAGGAACATCAGAGAGACTAGGGCTTGGTCAGTTGCACAGAGGTGATTCTCCAACAACCGCAGCCTTCGAATTCTCTGATAAGCTATGCAGATTCACTAATGCAGATCTATTGTGTGTGGCACTTTAGGAAATAGTACAAAGTGATTAAGTCTTATTTGTTTTTCTTATTTTTTTAAATTTAGGCAAAGGATTTGTGATAGTGGAAATTGTAAAAACAGGCAATACCCATTGATACTGTTCTACTCAGTACCTTACTTTTCAGGGCGCTGTTGGACATGATGTATCCTCATATTTTAGACCCCTGGGCATGCTTTTCCAAGTTACACAGAAACTTTTTATAACATACTGTTGCTTTCTCTGTTCACTTACCATTAGGAGACCTTAAATATATCTAAAAACTCAGCTCCTTGCTTTATGAACTTCGCCAGACAACAGCAGATCACAAATATTCAAGCTGAAATCTACGAGGTAAATTATGTTGGGCTTTATACTTTCTACTTCTAGTACAGGGAAAAAAATCTTCATTATTTCTAAGAGCAATTCTTTTAATACTTAGAATAGTGTCTAGCATGTAGTTGGATAGGTGTTTACTTATAGTAACTAATAGTAGTAATAATAGTCATAGCAGTAGTTAGTAGTAGTAGCAGTAACAGCAACAGGGCTTGAACATCAAATTGAAAAGCTTCAGTAAGTCCCCTGGTTCTCATAACAAACTATCCTCTCAACCCTCTTAAATATTCCTGGACTAAGACTATCTATTTGTATGAAAGTTTAAGCCTTTACTTCAGGCTACTTTTTACATGAGCTAAATGTTATTTTTGTTCCTAATGTAGAAAAACCTGGAAACTGAACGCCTAAGACTAGAAAAAGATACCGCAGATGTTGTTCATCCTTTTTTTTTGGGTAAGTGGTTTAGAATTTCAGCTTTTTCTTGGATTACCTTAAGTAAGCAACAGGCAGTAAAATTATGATACACCATCATTTTTTCAGGTATTGCCACAAAGCTAACAAAGTCTTCTATTTGCATGCTCAAATAGAAGTCCTGTTGGCATGGTTAGTGCAGATAGCATAAAAAGTGACCAAGGTAGGAGCTCCTCAAAGTCAGGAGCACTTGAAAGACAAAGAAATGCTGATGAACTTTCCAGATTAAAGGAGACTAAAGGGGCATGGCAACTAAAAGCACAGTGTGGTCATGGATTGAATACTTGATGAGAAAAATTTTTACAATAAAGGACATTATTGGGATACTAGGTAATGTTTAAATAATGGGCTATATTAAATATTGTTAGTATTGTACCAATGTTAAATTTCCTGAATTTGATACTTGTAGTTATAGAAGAGGATGTTACTACTTTGGGAAAAAAGTGTTGAAGTTTTAGGGATATAAGGGCATATCATCTGCAACTTACAAGACAAATGTTTGCTTTTTAAAGTTCATGTAGAATGTTAGAGACAAGAGATGGGCATAGAGACTTTTTTGAAGAATGTAGCTCTGGCAATCAAAACTGAATAGGAGTAGAGTTGAAAAAAAAAGATGTTAGCACTGAATTCAGTTGTCAGTAGGAAAAGTAAGAATATAGTTGAGAATGAAGCTGCTATTGGTATTAAAGATAGCAAAGAGGAGAGATTTAGGAGGGAAACGGTGGGATTAATTTTTGTCATTGTTAGTGTCAAACTGAAACAAAGAAGAAATTATTAGTAATTTCAAAACTTACTTGTCCTATTGCTAATTATCACTGTTTCTGATTTGTGTAGCTCAGAAGTATCAGACTCTGCAAAGCATGAATAGTCATTTGGAAGCAGTGCTAAAAGAGAAGAGGTCCCTCAGGCAAAGACTGTTGAAACCCCTGTGCCTGGAAAACTTGCCTATTGAAGCTGTTTATCACAGGTTAGACTAAAAAGTAGAAATTAAAAGTTATACATGTTTTCTGAGGGTAGTTTTTGTTTAGACTAGTTTTTTATTTATCATAGCATGATTCATCAAACAACATATTACTGATTATATCTATTAACATTATAACTAATGCTGATACATTAAGCCAACAGAAAACCCTTTGCTTTTAAAGAATTAGAACTGTGGTGAAGAGAAAGGCATTCCTTTTGCCCATTGTGTTTTGGGAAATATTGATAATAACTTTAATGAAAGAAATTAGATATATAACTTATAGTAAGGTAGGTAAAAATCATTTTTATTATGTATAGACTTTTCTGTGAAGTAAATTTATTGTTGTGTTAATGTTGCCCATACATAAGAATTCTGTTTGGGAAGTTTAAGCAGGACAGTGAAAACAATGTCAACTAAAGGAGTTAAAAACCAGCTCTGGTCTCATCTCTGCTGTTTGTATACCTCAAAGCCTTGGGCAAATGATTTAAGTTTTTACTTCAGTTTCCCAGTTCCCAAAATGGAGATGCTTTCTTTCCATTGCTCTCTTTCTCCTAGAGTATTGCAAATATAATAATTAACAATGAAAAAGCAGACATCTAGGGATCTGATTGCTAACTTTCTTCACCTCCTAGGGCCTTACTAGCTGACCCTGTGCTGATCAGTGTCTCTCTTAAGGTCAGGTTTTTCATCTTGTAGTGAAATAATAGATATACAAATCCCATTCTTGTGGATCTATTCAGTATCTATTTAGAACAGTATATAATACCATTAACATATATGTTATACAATACATATATCAGAAAAACTTAGTAATGATTCTAAAGCATTTACAAATGCAAGCATTCAAAGTAGTTTTATGTGTAGACTATTCCAGTGAAGTATATTTATCCTCATTTGTTCTTCACAAAGAATGAGTAGATTGAAACAGAATGAGGTTTTATCTAGGACAATTTCTTTACTTCTGTGAGAAAATTGCTAACATTAAAGTTTATCTAACATTAGCTTGGGTTTCAGATAGGATTAGTGATGTCTCTTTCTGTTTATTTGTTTGAATGACAAGTTAATTCCTGCTTAATTAGAAAGTGAAAAAGGACCTTTTTACCACTGATATTTCCATGAATGCAGAAAGGTTGTTATTTGCTTGTTGGGTTGATTGTAATTCTCTTATCTTGTATTAAAAGTCCTAATTAAAGTTAAAAAAACACAAAATAACTGAACTAAAAAAATAGTTGACTTTTTTTCACCTCCTTCAGATGCATGGTACATTTGCTGGAGTTGGCAGTGACTTTCATTGAGAGATTAGAAAACCATCTTGAAATAATTAGAAATTTCCCTCATGTAGAGGCAAATCTAAAGAAAATGGTAAGTATTAATAGCATTTATGTACCTCATAAACTCCTGTCACATTACAATTGGCTCTTTAATTCTTTTGTACTAGAATCTCAAATGTGTAATCTTGTTTAATTTGTTGATGGTTAGTATTATGAACAAATTATTTTTTTTAATCAAGATGCTTTTTCCTTTTTTACATAATTTTCTTTAGAAGTCATTTTACATTGTTTATATTCCATTGTTTAATAAACACCTGGTATCTTTATTGTTCAAGGGACAATGCTAATAGGTATTATGAGAGATAAATAGGTATGATCAATCCCTGCCCTCAAATTCTCAAGTTTTGGTGAGAGAGCTGTAAGATACTCTCTACTTCAATTTGCACAATAAGTACAGCAGAGAATTATAAAGAAGATGCTGTCTATTAAGTACAGAAAAGAGAGGGATTACTTCTACTATAGAGAGATTGAGAGTAGGATGAGTGTAGGAATACTTCAAAAGTTTAATATAGGAGTTTGCAGTGAGCTATGTCTTAAAGAATTAGTGAAATCTGGACATGTGGCAGAACAAATAGTCACCCAGAAGCAACAATGTGAAGAAAGACATGAAAATTAGCACAGGTAGTTTGGGGGAAGAGTGGACTTCACTTTGGCTGATGTTTAAAGGTATTTCTGTTTTAAAAGAAGGAGATTAACTTTAGTTTATGCAATGCCTCAAAAGTAAGACTAAGAAGTTTAGACTTTACTGAGTACTGGGGAACCACTGAATGGTTTTTGTTTTGTTTTTTAGAAAGGGCACAGAGGAGTGACTTGATCAGAACTGTACCTTAGTTGTGGACAAAATACTGAATAAAGATTGAGCTTTTCCATTCAAATTATAGGCAGAGAACATTGGCATCACTTGGAAGCTTGTTAGAAATGCAGAATTGCAGGCTTCGTTCATTTTAAGACATTCAGAATCTCAATCTATATTTTAACAAGATCCTCATGTGATTTAAATTTGATAAGCTGTAGGTTAGAGGACTAGGCAGATGAACCAAAGGCAGAGAAACTTGGAGAATAAATAAATACAGGCATTCAAATGAGAGAGTTAAAGCAAAGGAATACAAAGGATTATGTAGATTTCTAGATTTTGACATCAAAATTCTAGAACATGCCTACTATTTGGACAAGGGACGCATCTGAGTTAATGAAGTTTCTAACCTGATGACTTGAAGGTAAGTAGGATCAAGAGATTAAAGAAGTTAGTGAGTTTGTTTTTGACCTGTCTTGCAAATAATAAGTGTTCAGTCGTTGTTTGTTGAACTGCAGTTATATTGTTTGAGATATTGATTGTATATCCAGGTGAGATTTCCAACAGACTGAAATGTGGAACTAAATTTTAGGAAGAAGATTTGATTTGACAATATAGATTGACAAGATTAGGCTTGACAATGTAGACAATATGTGCAGTGAAGTGAAAACTGAAAACAAAGGAGAGATGAATTCACAAAGAAAAAGTGTGTACTGTAAGAAGTGGGAGAGCACAGTTTTAAGGAGGCTTTGTATTAAAGGGCTGGAAAAGACCAGGTGTTAAGTTTTGGTATAATTGGTATTATAACCATAATTGTATAATAATGATGTATTAATGACAGACATAATTTCTCTCCCTATTTTCCCCTTCTTCAAATGTTACAGAGCAAGGCTTTAGCAAAGATGGATGTTTTGGTGTCTGAGACAGAAGAACTGGCAGAGAGTATACTCAAGTGGCGAGAACAACAAAAGGAAGTTTCCTCTTGTATCCCTAAAATATTAGCTGAAGAAAATTATCTTCACAAACATGATGGTATAATGCCTCCTTTACCTTTTACTTCTAAAGTCCATGACCAAACTAGTAATTCCCAGTGATTATCAACTTGCATTTTTACTCACTTATATGTACTCATGTGAAGTCCATTTCTAGTCAGTCATAACATGGGTACTTCCAGGCTTGACTGCTAGCAATACTGAAAGAGCCCTCTTCTATATTGTACTAAGATTCCATCTTCATTAACAGCAAATTGTTTTTCATATATTTTCATTCTACTTTTTAGTAAAACTCATGAAGATCAAATTTAACTATGACAATTTATTAGCATTAACTATATCTCAGGCATCAGAATCTTTTTTAAAATATTCTTTTTAAAATATTCTTGTGTCTGAATTATAAGAGTCTCCTTGAATCTGAAAGAATGTTGTTTATTCCCATAGATAGTCACTAAGTGCAGATAAGGTAACATAGCAGGCCTGACTGCTATCCTTTAAAAGGCCTTCTTGCAAGGTTGGTCCTTGGCTGGTGTCTGGGAACTCAGATTTCAGAAGGGTCCCCTCCATTCTCATTGATAAGAGTTATTCACTGTGACTAAGGTGTTTTTGTACAATATGGTTTGTGCTGAACACCTGTACTCCTTCCAGAGTCTAGAATTTTGATATATGCTAGGCAGAAGGTACCTATATAACTAGCCCCCAGTAATAGCCCTGGGCACTGCATCCCTAATGAGCTTTTGTGGTAGACAACATTTCACACGTGTCACAACTCAGTGGCTGGGGGAATTAAGCACATCCTGTGTGACACCACTGGCAGAGGACTCTGGAAGCTCGTGCTTGGTTTCCCTGAGACTTTGCCTCATGCACCTTTTCCTGATGCTCCTATGCTTCATACGCTTTTGCTGTAGTAAATCATAGCCATGAGTACAGTGATATGCAGAATCTGTGAATCCTCCAAAGATATTCTCAAACCTGGAGTGGGAAGGTAGTGTGACAGTCTTGGGGACCCTGACACACTAAGCAATTCCTGAGGTGTTCACTGGCCACCTTAGGAATAGGCAAAGAAGAAAGAGCAAAGAAAAGAAGAGGACACATTATAGTGACCCTTTTAGAGGTTTATAAAATGCTCAAATAATTTTAACTGACTTATTGTGCATAAAAAAGGGGAGTGGTGTACTAACACTAATAGTAAGCCTCAGGATGTATTCATTTGTATCAGTACCATAACCTCTGCAGGCTTATTTTCAGACTTAGGGTTCTCTTTTTCTTTAAAATGTGTGCATCAGTATTTTTATACTGTAGCATTCTCTGTATCAAAGGGGTTCACCGATCCTTGTACTTATCACACTCCTTAACACAAGAAAACCTAAATACAGTGGGTGAGTAAAGTAGTTGTTTGTGACGAAGCAGCATCATTTCCAAAAAATACCCTGCTGAAGCAACCAGCAATCATGTTTTGAAGCCTACTTTGCTAACTTTTGCAAATGAGGCCTAGAAGAGAGGTCATAATATCTCAAACATTCCATAACATTGCCTAGGTATTACAGCAAAACATTTTAATTGTATTTCATCAGAAATCTGTTCAAGGGGCCAGCCTTGGTTTCAAACACATTGTTATTCTTTTTCTTCATGTTATTTCCTTTATTAGTTTACATATATAGTGTCACAAATATTGATATACCTGGTTTTGTTTTTCATTTTTTTCTATTGTCTTTTTCAAAATACAAAAAATAAACCTGTTAGTTTTTAACTAAAATTTTGTGGTTCTTGTCTGAATCCTATGTGATAGAAAGGAAGGATTCTCTTAGCTTACACAGTTAAAGTATAGGTACAAAGTCTATCTGACCCACAAAAGCTTAGATAAAAAAGAGCTAAATTGGATCTGAGGTCTACTTCAAAAAGAAAAACAAGTGTAGTACTATGCTAGAGTCCTTAAATGCTGATCAATTATTTTTTCTTATTCAGCTTTTAGACATATGAATACTAAAAAAAAAGTTAGCTCTGGAATGTCTTTCTATTTACAACAGAGGTGTGTGAGATTTGTGAATTCACTTCCAGCATAATTATGAAGCCATTTGTAAAGACTATTCTGGAGGAATTGAAATGCTATCTGGTTTTTCTGTCATCTTTAGATTACTCCTGATCTATAACTCTTCCAGACTGACTCCTGTTATCCCTCAAACCTTTAATAAAGTCAGGAATATAGTCTTGAGGAATAGGAAATCCCAAAGGGTTTATTGACATGCAAAATATAATTGCAATACTAATAAACTAATTAATATCTTGTAGAATTTCTCAAAATGTCTGTAAAAACTCTGTGGTCCTGAATCTGAATTGAAAATATACAAATGGAAAAAAGAGCTAAAATCAACAACCCAATAGCAATGAGCACCAAGATTATGGTCTCTAAAGAGCTTTTACCTATGTATCTCTTCATCTGCCTGTTGATTTGTATCCTTTACTATGCTTCGTAATAAAATGGCAATTAAGTGAGTAAATGGTTCCCTGAGTTCTATGAGCTACTCTAGCAAATTAGTTGAATCCCAAGAGGAGATTGTGGGGACCCCTGATTGATAGCCAGGAGGTCAGAAGTATGGGTAACAACCTGGACTTTTGACTGGCATCTGAAGTCTACTTTAGCAAATTAATTGAACCCAAGAAGAGGTTTGTTGACATCTCCAATCTGTAGCTGGTGGGTCAGAAACTTTGGTAGCAACCTGGGCTTGTGACTGGCATTGGAAGTGGAGGGAAGTCCTGTGGGACTTAGCCCTTAACCTGTGGAATCTGATATATCTCTGGGTAGATAGTATCAAAATTAAATTGAATTGTAGCACACCCAGCTAGTGTTGGAGAATTGCTTAGTGTTGTGGGGAAACTCCTCCCCCATGTAGGAAATTGGGTCCAGAATCTTTAAACCCCTAAAGAACTGATGAGCTAATGAGCTCAGAGGATGATCACTAGAGGTTGTAAATAGCACAAAAATACAAGTACTGATTGATTTATCAAGGCTCTGAATTGAATTACCAACTGAGAAAATACAGAGGATAGAAAAATATTTAAATATCATGAAGGGGTAAATCTTCAAAGTCTGGTCTGTGTGAAATGGACAGGAAAGTGGCCTGGTTTCTTTAACAAATACCAGTGGGGACAAAAGAGAGGGACAAGGAAGCTACTGAGTAAAAGATTAAAAGACATATTAACCAAACTTTATTTGGATCCTGATTCAAAGAGACTTTTGAAAACTAACTTAATGGACAATCAAGGAAATTTGAAATTTGAATATTTGATGCTGTCAAGGAAATATGTCCTTGGTTGTGATAATGGTATTATGGTTATGTTAAAAAGGAGTCCTTATCTTAAAACACATACTGAAATATTTGTGAATGATAAAATTTTTAAAATACAGAATACTGTCAAGCTAATTTCTCCAAACTGAGGATAGAAATATATTAATACAGTAATACTTTTCCTCAGTTTTATTGAGATATAAGTAGTATATAACATGTAAGTTTAAGTTATACAACATGATTATTTCATACATGTATATATTGTACAATAAGCACCACAGTAAGATTGATTAATAGAGCATTCACCAATTTTTGTTGTAGTGGTGAGAATATTTAAGATTTATTATTTTAGCAACTTTCACATATACAATAATATTGACTATAGTTACTGTGCTGTGCAATAATATTAACTATAGTTACCGTGCTGTACATTAGATCCCCAGAACTTATATGTCTTACATCTGGGTTTGTATCATTTCCCTCACCACTAGCCCTGGCAACCACCCAACTACTCTATTTCTATGAGTTTGAATTTTTAGATTCCACATGTAAAGATCACACAGAATTTATCTTTCTCTGACATTTCACTTAGCATAATGCTCATTCATGTTATTGCAAACAGCCAGATTTCCTTTTTTATGGCTGAATAATATTCCGTGTGTGTGTGTGTGTTTCCTTCATCCATGCATCATTTGAAGGACTTAGGACTTAGCTTGTTTCCATGTCTTGGCTAATTGTGATTAAGGTTGCAATGAACATGGTGGTGCAGATATATTTTCCAGATAGTGATTTTACCTCCTTCTGATATGTACCCAGAAGGGTTGGTTAATCATAAGGTAGTTCTATTTTTTATTTTTTTGAGGAACCTCCATACTGTTTTCCCTAGTGTGGCAGTTCTTTTCACTGCAAAGTGCAGTGAGTAGAGAAGCTATTTGGAAGACAAGGGTTCCAGGTGAATCTGAATTGTAAATAAGCTATCCCAATACTCTAGGGAAGGGTACTTTGACATAGAGGAGGGAGAGGAGATTGGATAGGTAAACTGTTGTTGGATCATGCCTGACACACACACACAAAGGCCCCATGACTATTATCTCCACTGGAGTACTGAAATAGCCTCCAGAGTGGTTTCTCTTGGGCTTCCATCCTTCCCAACTCCTCAGACTAGTCTCAAAACAGCAGCCAGAGTAAACCTCTAACAATATAAATGATATAATTTAACTTTTCTCCTTAAAACTCTCCAGTGGTTTTCTGGCTGACCTAGGATAACATCCAAAGACTTTACTGTGGCTTCATGTTACCCCTATGAGCCTCCAACTCTGTCACTCCATTCTACCCCACTGGCTTTCAATGTTGCTGTTTTTCCAACATTCCAGGCTCTCTCCAAGTTCAAGCCCTTTACATTGGCCTGTTCCTGGCACCTGGGATTGCTCTTCTTTACAGTGTGACTCTACATCTTTCATGTTTTTCTCAAGTGTCATTCTCAGTGAGGCCTCCCTTGGTCATATTATCTAAAATTTCAACACCTCTCTACTCACTTTCTTTCTCCTTTCCTGCTTTATTTTTTTCTCCTAAAGTAATTTGATACACATTTTACTTAAATTGTTTTATTTTAGTTTCTCTCACCAAGCTCCATGAGGTCGGAGGTTTGCCTGTTGTCTTCACTGCTATGTTCTTGCTTAGAACAAAGCCTGTTATAATAGGTGTTTACTTAGGAAATACTTGTTAAATAAATGATTATCTCCATGGCTCCCTCCCTCACTTTCTTAAGATCTGGCCAGGTGTCATCAGTGAAGCCTTTCCTGAAGATCCTATATAAAATAGCACCTTTCCCCCTATATTCACACACAGAGACCATTACTATATCTCCTTATCCTGCTTTAAAAAAAATGCACTTCACATCATATACTATACATTTAGATTTATTGTCTCTTTTTCCTGCCCGTAGATGCTAATTTTCACGAAGGCAAGGACTGTATCCTCTGCCCCTCAGAATAGCGTTTCTCTTGGTAGGTATTCATTAGTTATTTTTTGGATGAATGAATAAACCGGTTCTGTCCAACGGCATTCCCTCCACAGTCACAAACCCTACCAGGTGGCCATGAGGTTCCAATCCAGAGAAGCTCTCCAGTGAGCACTGTAAACGCCTTCACACACTGCCTCTTTAAAGAGAGACGCTGCTCCTTGCTGCAAACTGCAAAAACATCGGTGTTTCCCATTTTCTTTTGCCCCTAAAATTTAACCACAAAATTGACATCTCAGACCAACGCAGAGAATAAGAGTATTTTGCAAATTACTCTATAAACTGCTGGCGTTAACCAAAAGTTAACGGACTTACTTGACTCTACATAGCACTGACCGTCAGGCTAGTTTCTAGTCGTCACGAACTGCGCGGCCCCGACCAGCCCTGCACCACCAGTCTGCCGGACCCAGGATTGGCCCCAAATCTGCAGGCTCCGCTCCGGCCGGACGGTGGCGCGCGCACGGGCGGGGCCGTCGGGAAGGGGACGGGGCGGGGCCCGGGGGCCAGGCAGTCCCGTGAGGCGCGTGGGGCGGGCGGGGTCCGGCCGGAGCCGGGATTGGTGCCGGGGATGCTGCATCTGAGCCGACTAGCCGGGCTTACCGCGGGATGGCGAACGTGCGCGTGGCCCTGAGGGTCCGGCCCCTCAGCAAGAGGTGAGTCTGGGCGGGAGGGGGCGCCTGGGGCGTCAAATGTGGAGGAGGGTGAGGTCCCCGCCTCTCCCTTAAGGGATCCTGGCCCCGGGAAATCAGACACAACGTGCCCCAGGGGCTGGGGTCCGGAAGCCGTAGAGGCCTGGCAGGACGAGACCTCGGCTCGAGCTTTCGCGGCGTGCTGTGGGGGAGGGCGGGATGGCCCCGGGGTGCGCTGCCCTGTTCCGGGTCCCTGGAGTCCTGCCAGCAGGAGTTTTGAGGGACCGCGGCGCAAATCTTGATGCCCGGGTGGGGCTTTTGCCACTGGGTACGTTGAGAAGGGCTGGCAAAGTATCTCTACGCGGAGGGAGGGATCGGAGCCTCATCTCTCTTCTTGGTGGCTCTGGAGTACCTGTGAGGACTAGGACAGAGTTGTGTTGTCCCTGGGTGCACGTGGGTTTCTCAACGAAGATTAAGAAAAAGGCAGATTATACAGCGTGAGAGGGAAATTGAGGCCCAGAGAGATCGAGGGTTCATCTTATGATAGACAGCAGACTTGTTTAGTCGGGGGGAGTAATGCCAACCCGTTACCTCTGCGTCGTTCAGTGCCCGTTTCCTCATTGGGCGCATCTGATGCACCTCTCAGGTCTTGAGACATCCAATACCAGCCACGTATTTTCTTCCCTGTTTCACTGATTTTCCACTCTTAGGTTTAGAAGGTTCGGAAAGACTTCATAAGGGCGGTTGACCTGTTTTCTAAAGAGCTATAAAGCTTGCGGACAGGTGGGAGTGTAGAGAGCACTCTGTGTGAGAACACTGAGAATAAAGACTTAAGCTATTAGAAAACGTTAAGTTTTGGTTGTTTGGGGAAGAGTGTGTGTGGAAGGAGGTGAGTGATATCTTACCAGATAGGAAGCTGGTAGAGTGTAGTTTGAGATCAGAAGCCACATCCTGGAATTCTTTGGGAGGTTTAAAAATTTCCAGGACACAAGATGGATTAAAAATTGGGCAGAAAGTTCAAAAAAAGGCATCGTCTCCTGTAATAAAATTTGGTTCTAGCAGGGATTATGTTTGCCTGATATGGAGGTGATTGGTTTTAAGTCATGCAATTGACAGAATAAGAAGAGCAATGTGATGAAGGTAAGAAACAAGAAAAATAGAAAGGAAGGTAGGAAAAAGGAAAAAGGTACAATGACGAAAGAAGGAAAGCAGCACGCGCCAGAACTGCTGTGTTTAGATTGGCAAATGGCTTGTGTCATCTGGCTTCTCATTACTCAGCGTGGTGTTTTAGGGTTGGGTTTTTCATAGGTGCAGCTGCCATCCTTAGAGGTAGCCTCTGGCAGATCTTTTTGCAAAACTGTTGTTTGGGGCTCTCAGGATAACAACATTGAGCACTCCTAACAATAATTTCTCAGTTCCTTGGGAGTGAGGAATTTATAATATTATGGATTAGATGAAAATGCTGTTGAAATCAAATCTATTGTAGCCACAGTAGAGCATAACTTATTACACAAAAGTGAGGAGAAAGAAGAGCTCAGAAGCTATTTACTTTTAGCTCAAGTTAGGAGCCTTGACTAGCAAGTGGTAGAATGCCAAAACAGACATGCAGGTGAGGGCAGATTTTAACAGGCTAAAGATTCAGGAGCAAATATGGATAAATGCAGTGTGACTCCAGCTAAGTTGGGACCACTCCCCTCTTCACACTGGGTCCTGCAGAGATGCAGCATTACTCCAGGGTCTTCACTGAGGCTCATCTGAATGTAGGGAATCTGCTGATAGTGTGGTTTGTTCCAACCTTCACATTAAGTCACTAGCACAGACACAGTTTAACAAAGTCACTGGATCTGATGTTGTACTTGGAAGGAACCTTGGACATCATCTGGTCTCAACTTCCATTTGTCACTGAATCTGATGTTGTACTTGGAAGGAACCTCGGACGTCATCTGGTCTTAACTTCCATTTTTTTGTTTTTCCAAATGAGAGAATGATCTTGTTTAAGGTCTAAAAGTAGGTAGAGCCAAGATTCAATTCACCAGACCAAGCTGCTACTTCCTGAAATTACAGAAAAGTTGCACTTCTTTCTTAAGCAAATGACTGCTCAGGACTAGACCTGACCATTAGTAAAATGACAATATGGGAAATGGTTTTGATGCCCTCCATGTACCTCACAGTTGTTTCCCATAATCAGAAGGTTGGTATCTCATTATGTAATGCTACCCTTTGTCTATCCAAAATCGTTCATCACTGGGGGAACATGTTCTCTTCTGCCAACACTGAAGGCTCTGGAACACTCCCCCACTGTCCTAAAGTTACTTTTCATACACTGTATTCCCTTTCTGTGCTTTTATTTTTTCAATCTGTAAAATAGGATAACTTCTTCAGTCGTCTTTCATGAAGATAACCGAAAGAATGCATTTGAAATACTTAGAGCCTGGCTCATTTTAAGTGTCCAATAATTTAGCTATATAATTTTTAACAACTGTTTTTTTTTGAGAGGGCATCTCTCATATTTATTGATCAAATGGTTGTTAACAACAATAAAATTCTGTATAGGGGAGTCAATGCTCAATGCACAATCATTAATCCACCCCCAGCCTAATTCTCATCAGTCTCCAATCTTCTGAAGCATAATGAACAAGTTCTTACATGGTGAACAAATTCTTACATAGTGAATAAGTTCTTACATGGTGAACAGTACAAGGGCAGTCATCACAGAAACTTTCAACAACTGTTTTTATTCCTCATTATACTTAGCTGTCTGTTTTTCTTAAGTTTTACAAATGAATACATAACAGTGGTAATGGGTTGGTTATTTCCCACCCAAGACAGTGATTCTCAAATTATGGTATGCATACAGTTCACCTGGGGAGCTTGATATATTGCAGCTTGTTAACAGGCATTTGAATTAAGTAGCCCCACCATCTCCCTAATGAAGGTAGCCTGGACCACACCTTGAGAAACACTGTCCTAGGAGTAAGCGTGTACCTGAGGATTGATTTGTCCCTGTGCAAAACCTGTAACTCTAAGGAAAGAATGCCTGTTGGTAGAACTTAGGACTCAGAGGCAAGTGGTAGGAGTGTCACTCTTGCCACGTGTAAGGCTCCATCTGACTTTTGTTGAGCTCTATGTGGCCAGCGCCCCAGTTGAGGCTGGTTCCCTTTCTTTCTGCTCTGCTCAACATTAATTCATCCCCATTTTGTTTTAAGAGTATTTTGCAGCCACTAGGTTACCAGTGGCAGTGGACCAGGCATGGGAGGAGCAGCATCTCACCCTCCTATAGTGCCATATCTTTCTGACAAGAGGTCAAGTTCAGGACTTTTTTTTTTTGGCTGCTTTATGCCAGAGAGACCTAGATGAATCCTCAAGAAAGGGACGACTTTTAAGAATTAGATAACAGATTTGGAAAAGTTATTACATGATTTTTTCCCTTATTTTCTTGTCCAAATTTACCTTAATCTGTGTATTACTTTTATAATGGGTGGAGGGATAACAAAACCTACTTTAAAATGCAGAAAGGGGAAAAAAAATGTTGCCCTACAAAATATTAACACCAAAGATGATGATTTTCTTTAGGAGAGCAGATGGCTGGGAGACAGTTTTTGATCCTTGGGAACCAAGACTATTTCTGTTGCGTTAGGTAGCATCTGCTGTGAAATGTGAAAGAAAGAGCATCAGGGCCTTGAGGAAATGTAGCGGAAATGTTATTACCTGAGGGAGAGAAGGTTTCTATCCAGGACTTTATCCCAGACTCACTAACAGGTTTAAAAAAACAATCTTAAATCTAAGGACCTTTGTCTCACCATGCATCACTCCCAACAGTCCTCTGAGTCCTCAAGCTGACATCCTGGGAACCCCAAGGAAGGTTAAAAATGAGACCTAACACAATATAGCACAGAGAAGACAAGTAGTGACTCTATAGCATCTTACTGTGCTGATGGACAGTGACTATAATGGGGTATGTGGTGGGGAGTTGATAATGGGGGGCATCTAGTAACCACAATGTTGCTCATGTGATTGTATATTAATGATACCATACTAAAAATAAATAAGTAAATAAATAAATAAATAAATACAATGAGACCTAACATATTTTCTCCACTTTCAGGTACCAGGCTAGGAGTGATTCAATTGATAACTTTCATTGTAGTGGAGGAAGTGTTAATGAATTTAATTTCTATCTGTTAACATTCTGGCCTTGAGCACTTTAGCCTAAAACGCTTTATGTTAATGAAAAAGGATTTCCTATCTAGAGTGGTGTATATGCCATTCATTTTGGGATTCAGGTATATGGGTTGCTTAGATTTAGCCCTGTAAAGTGAATTTCGGGGCTGGTTGTTAGCAGTGTTATGGCATAACTGCAGCATAGGAAGATTCTCAAGGATTTCGACTTAGGAAGGTAAAAGGAAAGCATTTGGGAAATACGCTCTCAGGATCTCAGCAGAGAGGGCTCCAAAATCTTTTTCATCCCTACCTGTGCTCAAAATTTCAGAGAAAATCAGAGGTGATGCCATGTTAGGTGGTGAGCCAAGGGCACACTCAAGGGTTTCCAAGCCTGTTCTAAAGTATAGTTTAGAGTCCAGGCTTTGAATTGGGGTTGAAATCTCAGCTCTGCCGCTACTAGTTGTGTGACCTTGGACAAGTTACACAGTTTCTCTCAGCTTTAGTCTTCCATCTGTAAAAATGAAAATGTGATAGGAAGTCAGGAGGGCATATTAGAGGGATTGCTTAAGATGAAGGACAGTACGTGCTGTACCTAATGCAGTGCCTAGCATATGGAGGGCTCTCAGAAACGGTGACTCTTGGCTGTTGCAGAGCCAAATTCAAATGATCTGGAGAAGCGTGCCAGCTAGGGGACTGCTTGATGTGATGTCTGCAGCTACCTGTGGAGGCAAACTCCAGTTCCAGGGTTGTCCTTGGAGTACTGATCTCAGCTCCTCTTTTCTTGATTAAGAAAAAAAAGCAATGTTTCTTCTCATATGGGTTTGGGTTTTGTTTCTAGGGAGAACAAAGAAGGGGGAAAAATTATTGTGGAAGTTGATGGCACAGTGGCAAAAATCAAGAATTTAAAGGTAAGCCTGAAATTCTTTATCTTTCTACCGAGGAGCTAGTATTGTGACAGGGGCTCCAGTGGGATAAAGGTGTGTATGTAAATGTGTTTAGAGTTGGGGAGTGGGAGAGGAAGAGGATATAAGGGCATTTGTGGGAAGAACTTTGACCAACCGCCAAGGAAATATAATAAATACAACAGGAAAGAAGTAAAGGGCATGGGACTGATAGAGCCTAAGTTCTTTCAAACAGGGCACAGCCGTTTTGGAAACTGATCAGTAACTGCTTTGAAAGTAAACACAAGGCAGGTTACAGGGGCCATGGCTAGCTTAAATCATGCTGGGCACATCCATAGGTATCTTTAAGTCAGCTGACCACCAGTTAGGCTTTGTCCCTAGCCTCTTATTTGATAGCACTTCATCTAGGGGGATCACTGGGAATTTTGGTATCCATTTGCTATTGCAGGATTTGTATTGGCCACAGTGAGGTCCAGGTGAAAGCCTTCAGATCCCAGAAGTGAGTTGGCCTTTGGCCTGAGTCTTGCTACAGATTTGCTTCCATAGATCTGACTGACCTCTGAGTCACAATGGACAAACTCTGGGAACTTCCTCTATGACCCCTCACCTCCTCTCAAGGCTAATTTCCTCTGTCCCATCCCTACATTTTCCAGGCAGTGGAAGTGGAAAGGACTCATTCTTTGTGGACCAGGGACTGCTGGTATAGTCAGCTTGCAGGTGGTATTCAGCATTCCTGAGAGCTCAGGGAGCTGACTTGCAGGAGTGAGGGTTATCTGGACCCCAGGCCTCCTGGCCATGCCCACTTCCATGTTACTCCTGTGATGTGATCGGTTTCCTTTGTCAGTAGCTGTCTGCTAAAAGAGAATTGGACCTGCCCAACTTTCAACAGGAACTCCCCAGAGACAAAAGATGTTTTACTTTTTGCTTTCTCTTATTTATATCTCTGTTGCCTAATCACTTCAGGGGCTTTGTTCTGAGAGTGCATATATTTGGCTCTTAAGAGTAAATCCTTAACAAGATCAAACTCTAACCTGTCCCCTGCACACCTTCCTAGCTGCTTACTTCCCTGAGCTCAGTTATCCACTAAGAATTTACTAGGCATTCTGGTAGCCTTTTCCTACTGTGATTTATGGTGGCTGGTGCTGGGGATTGTCTCTCTCTGTCCGAAATCTAAATTTTACATAGTAAGACAAGGCATTTCTAGGAGTAATGCCATTCTCCCCAGTACCTGGAAGTTCGTTCAGTTTCAGACTTTGGCTCGCTCCCCAGGCAGTTGGATCGGTCCTAGCTCTTCTGTCCAGTGTACTTTCTAAGTCACTGGGGGTGGATACCAGGGACTAAAGTGGAAGACCTAGGTCAATAGAGCCTGTCAGGCCCGGGACTGAACTACTAATGTGCTCCTGGAGTCCTCTATGGAAATATGGATAGAAAAAATGACAGTGATCAAATGATGCCCTGAGAGAGAAAGGCTTTCTCTCCCAACCTGTTCTACACCTCGGATGATTGGTTTGTGGGCAGGCAGATAAATGATAGTATGACAGATAGACAAATTTAATTATCTGGGGCTTTATTCATACCAAATGAGACGGGAGTAGAGGTTACTGTTTTCCCCTTTTCTGGTAGATGTCATTAAGAGTCTCATGAGCATTCCAGGTCTCTCTAGCTACAGCAGAGAGGAATAAAGTGCAACTGACCAAATAATAGAGAAGACACTGGATTCTATGTTTGATTTTAGGTGGACAGCCGACCTGATGGCTTTGGTGATTCCCGGGAGAAGGTTGTGGCATTTGGCTTTGATTACTGCTACTGGTCAGTCAACCCAGAGGACCCCCAGTATGCATCTCAGGATGTGGTAAGACCATTTTTGCTTTAGCTCTTCTCAGTTCTTTATAACTGGATAATTATTGGGAAATTTACATGAAATATGGGCCCTGGCTATTTCTTACTTATGATAGTTTGCAGAAAATAATGATGTTTTGATTTGAGAAGTGGCAGTGAAAGGCATCAATTATAGAAAGAGCAAAGTAGCTGAGATAAGACTGCTTGCTCAGGGTATGGAAGCTGGCTAGTGTCCCTTTAGGCTTGGGCCTCAACAGAATTCATGTGGGTACAGGTTAGTTCAGGCAGCATTCTGCTCACTGCAAACTTAGCCTTGTGTTGTATACAGTAGAAGGGCCCATGAATCATAGAGGCTAGTATCTTCTGTGAGCCTTAGGCTTGTGCTTATGCTCCTAGGCTGAGTGTAAAAGGGCTAGACAGCTAGTCTGCCAGTATGTAATAAGTGAAATCTGTTGATCTGTGGAGGATTAAGAGGACCCGCCAAGGTTTTGTCATCTAAGACTATTCGTCATATTTTCTGTGTCTGGTAGTGCTACTTAGCTGTCTCACAAGTGCGCAAGGTAGCAGGTCTGACCAGGTGGGTCTACGGGGCTTCTGTTACTGTGAAGCAGCAGCATGGTCCTCATTTGAGCACCATCAAAGATGATGCTTTCAGTCCCTGTCGTGGCCAGCAAGACTTGCCTCACTCTGTTCTCTGACCTCACCCTAGCAGCTACCAGGGTACTCTCTGTGAAAGCTCAGCCCTAAAATTGATTTGGCCTTTTGTGGGTCAATATCATCATACTTACATATGCAAGAAAACACTGTAGAAATATCTCTTTAGGAAATGGAAATATTTTGGGGGGAACCCTGGACAACCATTGCCTATCAGTCTGTATGTCTTTGAATAAAAAGCTAAAGTGTGCTTTCTGTTAAATATTTTAGTCTTTTGTCAAACGTTTTCTAATTATGCCAAAGGAACAACATTATCAAATTTGAGTGACTGAAGACAGTACTGATTTTCTGCTGATGCAGACTTCTGAAGATGATTGGATAGTTTGAAACCATGGAATTCCCCCATTCTTCCCTGGAGGAGTAAATGTGGAAACAAAATCCTACACCACTGTGGGATTTGTTGTCTCTGTGGGCCCCTTCTATTATAATATTAGCATCCTACCTATGTAGTCACAATACATTTGCTGTAAATACTCAGCAAAAAAGGGCAGTGTGGATATTATGTGGCCCCTCCAAAATTCTCTGTCCTTTTAAATATGAGGGCACTAGCAGGTCTGGGTTTGCCTTGTAGCCTTTGATTTTTATCCCAGCACTCAAGTGTATGTGAGGTATCTGATTACTCAGATGGTGTTTGCAGCTGTTCCACTGAGATCCTCCAAGAGACAGGAAAGGAACTGACTCTCAGATAAGAGGATGGGACTCCTCCAGCGGTTCATAGTTGTGGCTGTACTTGTGGCATGAAGACAGTGGTCTTTCTGTTAATACAAAGTGTGAGCATTCTCATGGCTATTTCAGTTCTCCCTGGCCATGGCATAACCAGAACTATTCAGTACATAAGAAAAATTAACTATTTTGTATAACATTTGATCAATAATCTGGGAGGTGTGTGTATGTGTGTAAACAAAACTACATGCCTATATCTATATTCTGGTGAGGCTCACATTTTACATTTATGTAGTTTAACTATATAAAAATAATCTAGTGGAAGCCCAGAAGTCCATAGAGGAGGGGAATTCATAACTATGACTCTTCTTCTGTTGCCTGATTTGAAGTTCAGTGGCAAGATCAAATGGGATTTGAACAGGAAGCCTGTGCAGAGATATAAACAGTGTCTCCTGAGGTTTATTCTGCTTGTTTATTAATTGTCTAAGGTCCTCATTGGTCCCAAAGGGAGTCAGGATAGGAAAGAGAAGGAAGGGAACCTCTGTCACAGGATGGAGGAGGGTCAGAGATCTCAGAGTGGGGGCAGGACTCGTATCCACATAGTTTGGTCAGAGGACTCATCGTTTTAACACAAAAATTGGAGCCCAGGCTTAATCTTAATTACTGTGGCTCTGGGGTCACCAGGGGCAGGCAAACTGACATAAAATCACAGGCCTAGTGATAGGAAAGAATTTAGATGTTACCCAGTTCACTTGGCCAGAGTACAGCAATCCTCTCTACAGCATTTGTGATCATATTTTGGCAGGTGGGAGGAGAGGGGTCAGTCTTATTGAAGATGATTTAGATGCAGTAAAAATCACCTTTTTAGTGCACAGTGTGGTTCTGTGAGTTTTGACAAACACATACAGTTGTGTATGTGTCATTACAGTTGGTATATAAAGCAGTGCATTATCCCCAGAATTCCTTCATGTCCCTTTGTAGTCAAACTAGTCTCACCTCCAACCACTGGCACCTACCGATCTGTTTCTGTCCCTATTTTTGTCTGTTTCTGAATGTCATTCATATAAATGTAACAAAGCAATATAGAGGTTTTTGAGTTTGGCTTCTTTTACTTAGCATGATATATTTGAGACTCATCCCTGCTGTTCTGTATATCATATCTTAATTTGACCTTGATTCACACTTACTTAAATCATCTTGCCCCGGAGGAATCTCATGGCTTTGGAAGCACTGATTCTGACTTCAGAAAGTGAGAGACCAAGCCCCTGGAGGACTGTGCCCTCTTCATCCCTGGGTCTCCTCTGTTGCGAAGGGAGAGCTGTCACCACCCTCAGAAATACAACACTGTCTTCCCCCAGTGGCCTTATGGGGATATGGAGCAACATCATAAGCCATTGCTTGATAGATATTGACAAGAATATCACCTATTCGGTGTTGGCGTTGCCTCATCACAGTCTCTTAGAATGTTAGAGCTCAAAGAGAACCTCGCAGTCATCTGGGCTAGGGTTTCTCAGCCGCAGCATGTCTGATATTTTGGCCAGATAACTCCTTGTTGTGGGGAACTGTCTTGTATACTGTAGGATGTTTTGCAGCATCCCAGGCCTAGCAGATGCCAGTAGCAGTTGCAGTTGTGACAATCAAAAGTATTTCCTGACACTGCCCACTACTCTAAGCCAACCTCTTCATATTCTAGATATAACCATGTGACTATTATGGGATTATACAGGCAGTTAATGCCCAATTGGGGCTAGACTCATACTTCTTATGATGGTCTTTACATTGCTTGTACCATTCTAACACCCTCTTTCTATATTTATAGTCTTAAAGATAGGTTAAGACGAAAATGCCCTTGTGCTTTAGTGCTTCCTAGGCCTTAGTAGTGACACACTTGAGTAAGTAGATCAGGTGTCAAAAAAATGTGGACCTCTGGAGAACAAGTCAACTACTTCAAGTCCTACTGTGAGGCAGCTTTATTTGTTAAATATCTATGTAAATTCTTGTATATTTATCATGTCCTGTGCTCTTCTCCCAGATTTATTAAGTCTGTGTTATATACTCCATTTTATAGATAAGGAAACTGAGGCATAGAAAGATTATAAGAATTGTCTAAATTACTGAGTGGTGGAGCAGGGATTCAAATCTAAGACTATCTAACTCTGAACTGTGTGCCATTTCTACTAAGCTTCACTGACTCTGAAATTTTAAAAAATTCCACTTAGTCTACTAGTGACCTGATCATCTCTTCATATATATTATCTGATTTAATCCCTTCAATAGTCTAGAGGCAGAAGATTTTTATCCTTTTATAGTTAAGAAAATTTAGGCTTAGAAAGGTAACATGATCTGCCCAAAGTCACACAAGTAGAAATGAGTCTTAGATTTGAACACAGGATCATCTGAACGCAAAGTTCATATTCTTCACTACATTGCAGTGTAAAAGGGAGTAAAAGGGGGTGTAAGAAAAGGAAGAGATAGAGAATTAGGGAGGAAAGATGGAGGGTGAAAGGGAAAGAGAGAGAAAAGACCATAGTCAGTGGGCTGTAGGGGATCATACCACCTGTCTTGTCCACTACCCCAAGGAGTCCTCAGTTTCCCATTATTAAGGCAGGCTGTTATTGTTCTAAATTGTGTTTTTAGTCTTTGTTAATATTTGACTTGCAGCCAAGGCTTTTCTTCAAAATTGGCCTGCATTTTATCTGGCTTGAGTCTCTACTAAAGTTAGACCTGGATTTGAATTTAGGCACAGCATGTATTAGCTAGCTTACTTTGGACCAGTTACTTAGCCTCTCTGAGTACTAGTTTCTCCAGCTTGAGTTATTGTGAGGGGAAAATGAAGTTATTACGTAGGGTCCAGCCCAGGGCTTGGAAACCAGTTGAATAAGTGAGATCAAGAGTACTGTGGCTTGGGTCCTTGTTGGGATTATCACTCTCCCGGTAGGAGAGAAGTGAGGCCCATGATTCTTCCTCAGAGCTGAACTAGATTTGAAAATCTCTTCTTTGGATCTGGTTATGATCTCTGCTGGGATCAGCATGCTTCGCTTGGAAAATTAACTCCCCTCCCTTCCTCCTGGTCAGGAACATCTGTGGGAGCGGGAGTCCTCTGCTCAAGCGTATTGTATTTGGGTGATTGTGTGTAAAAGTTTCCATGAGGAGCATTAACTCAGCTTTACCCACCAAGGACTGAATGTGGCTGTCAAAACAAGTGCAGACTGAGTCAACAGAAAGCACTTTCAGGAACAAAAAGCTACCCGCCCTCTGCAGAAAGCAATTGCTCTATTCTCCTGGGAATCTTTTAAAACGGGCCATTATTTGGCTAAAACACAATACCTAAAACACTTGTAGCTTTTTCAGATTAAAAAAAATAATGTGAGTAAGCAGGAGATTAACTCCCTACAGTCACTGACTCCAAAACTGAAATTACAGCAGCAGTGTGATCGTGCTTATTATTATTTTAATATTTTAGTCTCCACAGTATGCTGAACACCAAAGAACACACAGAATGCCTCATTGCCTCCCCTCAGAGAGCCCTGAAGAAAGGATTGGGGATGGGGGTGTTTGTGTGTGTGTGTGTCACAGGGTCCTTGGTGAGTAATTTCTCTAGTTTTGGACTTCAGCTAGAGGATGTTAGGAACCTGA